ACACGCATACTAGAGCCTCAACCTGTGATCTACGGCAGCGTGCATGTCCAAGGCAGCATCTGAAGTCTGTTCAGTGACTTCAGTCAACATATGTATTATCTTTAGAGTAAATAAATTGCCTTCACATGATAGGCCGCTTTAGCAAACATACAAATTAAAAACTGTGAGCATGGACAGCGAAGGCTTTGGCTTTTTAAAAACAGCTGTAAATTTTTCCCGAAAACCCTATGCCTGACTAGAACCTTTAAAAAACGTAACGTTTATTTTATTTTATTCATTTTTTAAAAACTCTGAAACGTAACGAAAGTTGTTAGCACAGTTGCTCTTTTTCTGCTGTCATTGCCAAGGAAATTCAACTTTAAAAAGTTTCTTGATCCATGATCTCGACTTTGGTACTGAAACATTGATCCTTAAGGCTGTACACACATCAATGCGTGTCACGTGTTGATAATGTTGATATCATTTCATAACTGAAGCCTGTCATCACCATTAATCCGGGCTGGTGTTAGTTCAATCTGGTGGCAGACCTCGTATGTCAATGCCTGCACCACATCTCGCTTTCATGTACGCCAACTCAGCTCTTAATCCAACATAGATCATTGCCAGCTCATCAAGAGAACGTGCGCTCGCACCATAAAACCGACAGTCTCTAGAGGAAAACAACATTAAGGACGGCTAGGAAACGCATTAGGGCGCTTGCTTGTTTTGACTCGCAGCTATCGAATGATTAATCTTTGTAGACCTGCTTCTGCTGGTTCCTACTTTCATCTCGCAATAATTCATCATTGGGACATGTCTCACTGCCGAGTTGCCGGCTCATGAGTCAATTTATTTTAGAATTCCCTAGTGGAGAAGTGCCATGGGAAAATATGAGAGATTATTAATGGGATTTTATTACAACTGTGAAACGCTTGCTGAAAGTGTTTATCTTACTGACAAAGGCTGCTTCTAAATGCTTATAAACGCAATTCGGTCCAAAAACGCTGAATGGAAAAAGTGAACTGGATCTTGAGTCGACTTTACAACCGGAATTTTTTTAACAAAGAACAGTATACCCGTGCTGTGTTGTTTCTGAATCGATCGAGTACCTAAATTACGAAATTGTGACATCTTTCTCTCTGTGATGAATATACTAGCCTTATGTCGTGTGATACTGATTAAAACACTAGTGAACATATTTTACAAGCCATCTATGTGGCTCTGGTAATGGTTCGGAACGGAATAACGGAATGCAAAATGATTCGGGTTAAATTTTCATAAATGATTTCTATACATTTTTATGGCTTGTGTGTTTTTTTACAATGATCGAGCCCAGGTGCCGAACTCTACTGTGTCCCTACTCCCTAGATAAGGACTTCGAATGCAGCTAAACGCAATGTACCAGGAGAAGTTATTTGCACTAAATTTTTGATCAAGTTGACAGTTCTTGGCTGAGCTTTTTTTTATTAGCCTGTTGCCGTGTACAGCCGTCGCAACTGGTGGGGCCAGTTGTGAGGCGCTGTTCAGCTGTTCCTAGGTAACAATCAGCTATTCCATCGGTAACAATCAGTAGTAGGTATAGCTCGTGGCAGACGTTGATGCCAGTTGTGGGACGTAGCGATGGTATAAACTATCCATGCAGCGTCAGTGGATAGATGGAATCTCGATGGCATCCAATAAGACCAATGGTATAATATAATGGCAGCAGCAATATGCATGCCGCGTCTGTAGTGGTGCCATCGGTGTGGTGGCAGCGCAGCACGCAGCACCAGCAGTGGTGGCACTTGCATGACGCAGCAGCAGGAGCAGTGGAGGCACTTGCATGACGCAGCAGCAGCAGTGGTGGCACTTGCATGAAGCAGCAGCACCAGCAGTTGTGGCACTTGCATGACGCAGCAGCAGCAGTTGTGGCACTTGCATGAAGCAGCAGCAGCAGTGGAGGCACTTGTATGACGCAGCAGCAGCAGTGGAGGCACTTGTATGACGCAGCACCAGCAGTGGTGGCACTTGCATGACGCAGCACCAGCAGTTGTGGCACTTGCATGACGTAGCACCAGCAGTGGTGGCACTTGTATGACGCAGCAGCAGCAGTGGTGGCACTTGCATGACGCAGCAGCAGCAGCAGTGGTGGCACTTGTATGACGCAGCAGCAGCAGCAGTGGTGGCACTTGCGTCGCGCAGGGGCGCAGCGATGAGTCAGCGCTGCTATCGACCAGCGGCGTAGCGCTGTCGCCGCCCCGCGCTCGCTGCGCGTGTTGTGCGCGCCACGGCTGCAGCCAACTCGACTGCCCTGAGCACGTTATGAAGTCGTGCAATTTCTTCCGTTATTTCCGTGCTGTCATCCATTATATAATGGTGATTCTTGCCTGTATTTATTCTTGTCTTCTCGAAACGTTTGGGATTATTTCATAATGAATCAGTTAATATATATGTATCATTATAATCGTATCATCTGATCGTTTCATTAATACATTATATAAAATTAAGTAAAATTTAAATGCATTAAATTATTCGATTATTTCCAAAATTTTTGTTTATCATTAGTGTGATGATTAATATTCATGTAATATTCATGTATTCATCACTCTGGCCTTGCGAGAACTTGAGAAGGAATTAATTTACGAGCATAGAAGATGGTATACGGCACCGACTGTAGAGCTGTATTTCTATTGGTGTATTTACCTCAATTTGTGTCCCTGAAATATATTGTTCACCTGTTTTGCTTGGTAAGATAGAGGGCCATCGATATAGCAGGAATGCCACACACGTGGCCACAAGAAGTGTCTGCTTCTGTCGTTTTCACGGTTCAAATTAAAGGCATTCATGCCTGGTGCATTGCTTCTTTAAGACCGCTTACCCCTGCCGGGCATTGTTTGCGAACGTTCATACGCCATCGTTCGTTCTAGAGCATGCGACGAATTTTCAGCATAGCACCTTCGTTATCAGAACTTTCTATTTCTACTGTTTTGATATTGATAATATCAGAAATCGACAAACGCGAACCAAGGAGGAACTCAGAATACGGTCATTTTTGTTTTTTTGAAAAAACATAAAATGTGTCTGATGCCATGATCTTCTGTACTCGTAAAGAACTTGTTCGGTTAGCACAACATGTTCTTAGCTTATCTACCTAATGATTAAATTTCATATGCTGCATGCAACCTATGGCTAAACAATGATAAGCATCGCCCAGCTGCTGTCTGAATGGTTCTTTAAATTGTGGTGAATATTATCATGTAAGGCTTGAATAAAATCTGCACAAATGTATGCACTCCTCAACTGGCGCACGTTTTTTTCTCTAGAAGATATAACATTATTGTTAAGTGTTCACATATCAAGTATGATGAGCATTCGTAAGGTCCCAGCATCCGAAATGAATAACGCTCGTGAACAGGGGTTGCAACCCGTGTTTAAATGCGGATGAGTTATAACACCAAGCGTAAGCTTGTTCGCGAACGTTTTGAGGCCGCGTTCGTCGTTCGCAGAGAATGCTCGGCTGGTGTGGACCTTCAGACGGCAATAAGAACACTGGGGCAGCCTTGAGCTCAACTTGAACGGGCTTACCAAGTTTTAACAAACATTCCTGCAAATAATTATTTTTGAGGTCTCATGAACCGCAGAAATTAATTTGAGATCGAATTTAATTGGTTCTTCTCTATTTTTCTTCTCATTAACTAGAGATTTGATGCGTATTGTTGTCCTTTTTTTTTGTTATCAATGATGTTTCCTTATCAGAATTTTATCATTGTAATTCCGCTTGTATTTTTAATCTTATGAGAAATTTATTGCCATACATGAGAAAATTTATAAGAAAGCCACGCGGGCCTCTGAGTCAGCGGCTCGCTCTGATCATGTCGGGTCACGCGGGCCTCTGAGTCAGCGGCTCGCTCTGATCATGTCGGGTCACGCGGGCCTCTGAGTCAGCGGCTCAGTGTGCCGCTCATATGCTCGGCAATTCCTGCTGCTGACGCCGCCCTCATTGGCCTGCCTTAATTTGAGGGATACCTCTGATGGCCATAAAACGGTCAAGTCCGCGCACAAAAAAAAAGACCAAAAATATTTTATAACTCAATATATACTAGTATATTTGTAGGTTCCAGAGTAAAAATCCCATTTTCATTTTTTTCGCATTTTTCAAATTTATAAGGAAGTCCCGTCATCACAAAATTTAGCCGGCTAACGCAATTTAGAAAAAAAACGAAATCGCGGAATTTGTCAGGAAAGAAAGACCATCTGATAATTCTGATTAAGAATATAAAATCGCTCGAAGTCTCGAACCGCAGGGTCGATCTTGCGAAACCGCATCGATAGCTTCGCTCGTCCAAAGCTTTATTGCAACATCTGAACACGAGCGTTCACGGCTCCTGACTGAAGACAAAAACATAACGAAATGGGTGCCCGTTTATTATGGTTGTACGGTGTTTGGCGCAATGCAATTTTTATTGTATTATATTTAGCGAGACGAAATTTTGTCTATAGCTAACCACGCAAAACAAGCCATACGTTTGATGTTTTTGCTGATGTTTATCTACATGATCATAATACGTTTAATGACGAATTATAGCCAATAGCTTGGTAGCCAAGTTAACGCGACACGGTGGTGTTGTTTGGTTGTTCGTATCAGTGTTTAACACTGGTAAGACGTGAAGGAATGTGTGTTCGCAATTTATTCTTAAATAATTTCCTCGTTATTCTTCAGTGTGTAGTGATGATATGTTTAGCTGGTGTATTATATTACTTTCTACTAAAGCACAAACAGCTGACGCGTAACCGGCTTCCTTGTGATGATTTTACTCGTTGAATACGTCCGTAGCTGGAGAAGAATAGTTTTGAATAATTAACTTTTGTTCTAATGTTTGATGAATTAGTGTGCTTAAATATTGCAGCTCATCTGACACGAATAAGCACAAATTTGAATATTATTTTTCCTCTTGAATGGCCGTATTTCGCTCGCCTTAACTTTAATACTAGCATAAATAATTATCATTTGTATGATTGTAGCTTGATGTTCTACCTTGCAGGTGTCGCACCGCAAGGGCTTGCCACACGTCATCTACTGCAGGGTGTGGCGCTGGCCAGACCTGCAGAGCCATCACGAACTCAAGCCGCTCGAGCACTGCCAGTACCCCTTCAGCGCCAAGCAGAAGGAGGTCTGCGTCAACCCCTACCACTACAAGAGGGTTGAGAGTCCTGGTGAGTCCTGCAGTACAGGGATGTAGCGTGAGTCTCTACCTCTACAAGAGGGTTGAGAGTCCTGGTGAGTCCTGCAGCCTTTGCTACGAGTATCAATGCCCAGTACTGTCTTTGTGACGACAGAGGTTACTACTAGCATCTTCAATGGGGTTACAACCGATACATAATAACAGCAGTATCAGAAAAGGGTTCTTTTTGGGAGATTCTTTGCGTTAATAAATGAATTTCTTCAAGGATTGGTTTATTTGATGGTATTTTATGACAAGTTTCTATTCCTTTATTTCAGGTAATTGCTGATGCTCAAATTTAAGAAGCTTGTATCTACCAAGTACCACATTAAGTAAGGCATAGTAATAAATGTGTTGGCTGTTGACAGTGCTGCCGCCTGTGCTGGTGCCCCGACACTCAGAGTATGCCCCCGGGCACTCGATGCTTCCCTTCAACAACCAGCAAGTTAACGACGTGTCCATGCCCGCCAACATGAGCTACTCCCACAACGGCTTCGTCGCTGCCGGGTCCTCGCCCCCACCGCCATCCATGTCACAAGGTGACGCAGTAATGCATTCTTATTAGAGTTACCTATTATAGTCTTGGGTATAGTATACTCATATTATAAGGGTAATATCTTTTTTTATTTGGTAATATTTATGTAGTAGTCTTAAATAATGCAATGAAAAATTTGCAGTATAAAGTAATTTGTAATGTGAAGTGATTTGTAACCACGAAAGTAATTTGAATTATAAAGTATCTCTTACCCTGGAGTTAGTCTGATGCAAGTAAAATCCATGCCAAGCTCCGGAATTTTTCAAGGATTAATCGACTTTTATGAAGACAAAATAGTGATTGGAAAGACAAAGCCGCTCTGCACAAAGTATCGACAAGTCGCCCTCCTTAACACTGGCGTATATAGCCGAAATATTCTAAATATTAACTCTCTATTACATAATACATGTATTTTGTGTATTGTAATAAGATTGTTGGCATTGAGTATTGTGCTCGACAGCTTCGACGTCGAACTCCCTGGCGTCGAATGATAGCCTGGGGCGCCTTGGGGGCTCGTCCCCCGTGGGGAGCGTCAGCCCTGCCTCCTCCTCCTGCTTCTCCCCCGACAGCGCCTACAGCACTTCGCTTACTGGTGGGGATCTTGGTTCATGGTAGGCATCATCTGTTCATGGTGGATTATGTGTGGCCTTTGAATCGTTAGAATTCCTTCAGTTCCTTTTCTTCGACATAATAATAGCGGTTTCAGCGTTTATTTGGCCGTAGGCCTGTCGCCGATTCTTAGCATCGCAGAACATCCACAGCATTTTGCGGTCTCGAACACGCAACTCACTGCTACAATTCTGCTTTGCTTAACTGCCCGGCCTCCTTGCCGATTCTGACCATGCAGAAACTGGCGCACAGAGCTGGGATCGAACCCGCGCCTCTCTGCGCCAATCCTGGTACTCTGAACTTTAACCACTGGGCCACCCTGCCATGAAACTCACTTACGTGTACATGAAACTCATGAAACATGAAACTCACTTACGTTAATATTCATCTGGATTGAATATCCGTGCAAAATTAAATTCGTCACATTGCCGAATTTAACTTTTATTGACACTGAGATTCAAATGAAAATCGTTGCCTCTATATACGATCTTTATGCTCAGGGATGGAATATTCAACTCGGTTTACGGGATAATTTCTGAAGTACCATACGCAATTTACCATCTGAATATGCTGTGTTTTGGCTTGAGTTGAGCGTGTGTATTTCAGACGGCTTGTCCCCGCCCTACACCAACTCTGCTGATGACCTCAAGCAGGACACCGCCATGGAAGTGATACAGTCGCCGCTCACCTCCTCTATACCTCCCTCCATATCATCGCCTAGCTTCATGCCCGTAGAATATCAGGTAACTTATATACTCAGTTGTTACTCAACTGTCCCACGTACTCAAATGACAGGTAATCGTACGGTCAAAATCCTGATGCGTGTAGTATATATACTCGAGTTGTCATTACCATTTGAGCTACTACAATTTGTACTCCAGTTGTTATTACCACATTAGTTGTTATTACCACTCGTATTGCCATTAGTACTTGAGTTGACATTTTTACTCGAGTTGCCAATAGCATTCAAATGTTGGTACTCGATTTGCTGGGGCTGTGCATTGCACGAGTTTGGTTGCAGTAACTGGACGGTGCCATGGTGCCATGGATTTTCAGGCGACAGGCACGTTGCTCCATCAGTATACTGTATACGGCGGTCATGATGCTGCGGGACTGGGTGCAGTGCTCGCAGTCCTGTAATGGGTTCTTCCACCTGAAATCTCAGGTACTTGTGTTATGTTCGCGGTGATTGATTGTAATTTTTATTTTGCAGGAAGCAGAGAGCTGGTCGAGTATCGCGTATTATGAGCTCAACAACAGAGTCGGTGAAGTGTTCCACGCCACCACCTCCTCTGTTATCGTCGACGGCTTCACAAACCCAAGTCACAATTCCGAAAGATTTTGTCTCGGCCTCTTATCCAACGTCAACAGAAACTCCACCATCGAGAATACGAGAAGACACATTGGTAAAGGTGAGATCGGAGAGCACCTTTCTGCTGGAGCGTCGATTATTGCTGCGAAATAGGGGTCCATTTAAAAGTATGTAAAATTTCGCATTGATAGTCTGTTATGTGTGGTAGAAGAGAACGATGCTATTTGCGTCGTGTGATCGCTGGGCTCGAGGGTTTAGACTGAATTCAAAGTTCGATTGACAACACAGGTTTTAGTAATTTTGACGAATAAACTTTGGAGTAAGTTATCAAACTAGCTGTCATTCTTTTACATCATTTAGTTTATCTACTAATTATATCTGGCTCTCTCAATGGCAGCAGAGACGTTGTCTCGAGGCTGAGTGCTGTCACTGACCGCACAATTCTGCTCTTGTGCCGCAGGAGTCCACTTGTACTACGTCGCCGGCGAGGTGTACGCGGAGTGTCTTTCAGACTCGGCAATTTTCGTGCAGTCGCGTAACTGTAACCATCATCACGGCTTCCACCACTCGACCGTGTGCAAAATCCCACCCAACTGCTCTCTCAAAATATTCAATAACCAAGAGTTTGCTCAGCTGCTCTCGCAAAGCGTAAATCATGGCTACAGGGCCGTCTTCGACCTCACCAAGATGTGCACTATTCGGTCAGTGGCGCGTCGAACAATCTTCTTGATGGTCTATGGTTTTTTATCGTATTTACCGCGACCTTTATATACACTATTTCATCTGAAATTGTGCACTTGAATTTATATCATGTTTATTATTAGAATAGGAAAACATTAAACTAATTTTATATGCTGACAACAGGAAAAGATACTGTCAAGAACCCAAAGAAGAATTAAGTCAGCCATGTATAAAATTACGTAGCAATGCTCAGCACGAAGTATATTTAACAATAACCATAGTCAAATGGTTTTTAATGACCATACTAAGAAAATTTAGCATTAACCACAGTTGGTATAATCCATTAGAATCATCAGAACAGTAATTGTGCCATGTAGCACGCTGAATGTTGTCGAACTCTCGTGTATACCTAATAACGGATCGTGTGTGCAGGATGTCGTTTGTGAAGGGCTGGGGCGCTGAGTACCACAGACAAGATGTCACCAGCACGCCATGTTGGATTGAAATCCACTTGTCAGGGCCGCTCAAGTGGCTCGACACCGTCATCACGCAGATGGGCGCTCCCAACGACGTTATTTCTTCTGTTACGTAAAGGCTCGTCAGCTCGCCCTCCCCTTCATGCACGCTTCATTCTCATCTCCCCGATCAGGAAACTTCGGGATATTTCTCAGTGTAATTTAATGCATCGATGTTTTCATGCGTGAAGTTCGTCATCATTGGCCGTTTGTGTGCATCATTGATTTGTTGCATCAAGTGATGGTTGATGAGTTCCTTATCACGGATTAGTTGTGTACAGAGCTTTAGTTCCTGCCACATCGTGCATACGTAATCAATATTCCTCAATATTCTGATCGACTCCAAAATCTGTAGAAGAGCCGCTTCGTAGCCAGAAATATTTGGGCGATGGCACGGCTGTTGCTTTAGAGAACGCCAATAAAATATTGGTGCCAGGCCGATTCTGAGAATTGCTTTGGACCTCATCTCAGCCGCCATAGTCCACAGAATATCTGCAGGTTTATTGGGATTTGGTGCGATTTCCATGACGGAGCTGTCCCAGTTTAACGTGCAATTCGAGTGCAATTTGCTTTAATCTGACATCATGCTGATCTTTGCTTAGAGTAAAGCATTGCTGTCTCGAGAAATTATTTATTTGTTAAAGTCAGCGATGTTCATGTTCGCAGTTCTTAATTAATGTATGAAATTGTGCTCCTTCGTGACAGACTCATGCTTCATGTCTGTTGCATAGCAGCGCCTGACCTTCCCCCCTGAACGCGTAGTCTCGAACAGCTCCGCTGAAGTTTGCTCCTCGGTAGTCTCATTGAAAAGCTCAAGTGGATTCTAGAGCATCACTAAAGACCGAAAAACGAGACTAAATAACTTGAACAAATTGTCATACAAGACAAAAAACAGAATGTATCGCTATAGGTTTTTTTTTTGTTGTGCTATCCTGAAACCAAATATCTGCAAGCTGCATCGACCAAACATGAAGCCTTACGCATCTGCCTGTCTGTTGACCTCATCAGCGCCTTATTATTGCTATCGCGAATATTAGTATTATTTGATAGATGATTCTGCATCTTTATCCCACACATCTCAGTCGTTGATTAAGTTACCTACGTCGTTTGCATAGATTATGTTCGTTCTGGGCTAATGAACCTTTCTCCTACACAAAATATTCTTCGTCGGCACCTAACTTACACTTGTATAGAATTGCATGCCGTATCTTTCTTCTTCATTTCGTCTTTTTAACGATAAGATCATGTGTAATTAGTCACGGTGTGTTCGAGTCTTCTCAGTCCGCAAATTCGTCCCTAGGAACATGCCTAGAAAGATGAAGCTGGTACTAAGGAGACATTAATAGAGTTAATAATAGTTAATAGACACTTAGAAACTCTAGCAGCCGGCGAGAAGTGGCATATGCGGTGGGGTTTTGATGACTTTGTTTATCCGGTGTGTCGCTTGGATCTCCTTCCCAGCTAAAATTTTTGACCAATATAATTATAAGAAATGTTGATAAAATGTAAGTATTCTTAGGAGGAAAAAGTTGTGCCATAAGTTCGTAAGTGAAAGTAACTGAATCTTGCAATAAATGTAGCCATTAATAAGCCTATGGAAGTTTAATTTATAAATTATGACTTTTCGCATGTCTCTGGTCTGTTTTATCAGGTAGAAATATCTTTTTTACATTCATTGAATTAAGGTTTGTAAATCTGCTTGAAAAATTTACTTTTAACTCCAAGCGATGTATTCCGGTAAGGCTGTTCCTGACTTCTTTCATTTTGAGTTTCGGAAAAAAATTCTGGCTGTTCTTATTTTTAGGTGTATTAAAGTATATTTACTGCAATGTGTAAGAGGACCTCAAAATATCGCTCTTAACTTTGGACAAGTTTGAGGCGTAAGTCATGCCTCGCCTTGATAATTATTTGTAGTTCTGCATTGTCTGTTTAATCAAAGAATTCCAAGCACTGGTAAGGGGAAGAAAAATATTTCCTCTTCTTTTTGAGCCCTTCACATAAATTACGAGATGGTTAAATCGTTTGAATCATGAAGCATAAGCCATAAGAAGCGTGCAAAGTAAAATAATATCTGGTAATTACTTTTCCCCACAGCAACATATGTGATTGTTATGTTGCTTGAAACAATGTGTCGGATATTCCGCAACTCTGTTAGGAATATTAACCAACAGTCTAGCTGTGTAGTTTCCCTTAACAACCAGGAAAATATCAAGTAAATGAAGTTCAATATGTCTGGAGAAAAATTCTAAATCAAGAACCTTCACTTAAGGATTTATTAAGTATTTTATATAAATTATAATGAATAGCATTCTTTGTGAGTCGTCCTGTTGACTCTAACCAAATCGCAGGATTGTTAGTGAAGAATTTTGGGACTGCCGTCCTGATTTTTCAATATTTATCTCGTGAATTTCACTTTAATTGAGAAACCCATTTTTTTAGACACACCGTCATCCTGACCTTGGACGACACGACGGATGGAATTTGCATTCTCTACTTAGAATTTCTTGTTGAGTTGTACTACGGGAAACGCTTGCACCTATGGGCTTCATTTGCAGGGAAAGAATAGCTGGCCTAAGACTTCTAGCGAACTACGATAAATTTAAGGCATATGTAGAAATATCGTGCAATTGTTAAGAGGGACAAATTTTAGTCTAAAACTTGTTATTACCATGATGAAAAAATAGTTACATCTGAATTTCATCCGTTAGTTGAATTTATAACTCATAAATTCTAACTAAAATTCGCCCAACATAAAGTCAGCACAACCCATTTTTTTACGAACACATCAAACGTTTTCAATGATATTCTTACCTAAAGGCCAGTCTGGCTTAAGGTTATACCCTGTCCCGGGATCGCATGCTCTGCACAAAAGCAAAATGTCGTTGCCGTTCGCTTGTAATGATCGCTCTTGAAGGAATACTTGAAGCGTCGTACGCTCTCGATTGCTGGGATCGAGACTTTATGGCATTTTCCTTGAATGTCGGATTCCTTCAATCGAGTTCATGACTGAACCCTGATGCAAACATTCTCTCATTTAAATGTTCTGCGTACTATTTCTCAATAACAAGGCCGTGATGTCCAGCGCATTCCGAAACGACCAGCGTGAATGTACTGTCAGTTCGTAACTAGATGTGCGTAAATGATTCCAGTCTGCCGTAAAATCTTTCGGCAGGTTTCATGTCGATTTCATTTCGATCACTAAATAGGTTTCGCCAAGACAGATCGATGTCGATGTTCTCTCACGAGAATAGGTTTCCTAGTGAGGAACGTACGAATTTGATTCTATTAAGGCATGAATTGGTAAGAAAGTTTACCAAGTTGTTTTTGTGAGCTTATGTCTTTAGATCGCTAAGGAGAGATTTGGTCGCGTTACAGGCTAAGCATGTGTTAGTAGCGAGTAGTGTCCAAGTTGCAGCCAATACCTATAGAATCGCAAGAGTACTGAAAAAATTACGCTGTGCTTCTTGAGTAACCGTTCACTTCTCTCGTATGTGTGTTTAAGTAAATTAAGGGATAAATTCTTCAGAGGAAAGTAGGGTGCCTTCCGTAGTGAGCAGAAGCGTGCCTTCATTGCTGCCATCCAAGTTTGCCTGCAGAATCATTCCTCATCCTGTGACTTGATCGCGCTCACTGGTGCAACTCGTGAATCTTCTTAATAACCTGTCTTACTTTCTTTTCGCATTTCAAGTAGAAAATGCTCTTTATTTATCATATTATAGTCGAGACTTTAGTCGATTGCAGAGATTTCGAGATGAAGGTATATTAGATTATTCGCGCAGGTCCTGTTGGTAATTCTAGCTTCATTGAAGAGTAGGTTCAAGTTAGTTCATTTGAAGAGCTTTTTTTTATCTTAATTTGAATTTCACAATCATTATAAAGCTGCTAAGGTTGATATTGTAAATTCGATATATTAGCGCTGTACTCCACAACATGTAATAATTGTATAACTAACTTTGGCATCTTTTCTACGCTAGAGGCGAACGCGTCGTTCGAATTCTTTGAAGTTTGTTCATGCTTACCTTCACAATTTTGAGTGGATGTGCCACTTGCTCTCACAGTCTCTAGATTACTGCAAGATACATTGCAGCCTAAAAACAGATCCCAATGCACACACAAACATATTGCTACTTGTGGAGTGCAACTTACACTTCGTGGTTCATATCTACTGGGATGAGCGGGTCCATAAAACGGTGCAGAATCAAACAGATGTTAGAAGTTAAATATCAGTTCACTTCGTATAGAGTGTTTGAAATGTATGAGCTTGTGGCTCGATAGAAATTAGAATTCGCTCTTGCCATGTGAAGGCATTTAATAGTGTAACCTCTCAGCAGGGACTTCTGACACGTGTCTGTGCTATGGGATTTTGCGCTCCTAGGAGGATTGTTCTTGAGCGCCCCACCACTGAGCTTAAGTTATAATGAAGTTAAAGATTCCTTACTTTTTCTTTCTCTGTCTCTCTCGTGCTGGCGGCCTACGTCTCGTGTAATCGACCTGTTTAGTTTCTGTTGCTTTTCCTCTGTCCCTCCTTGTCACTTCGTCTCTTTGAGATGCTAACGCTGCTTCTTTCAAGCCACCTTCAGCGGGCTGGACAACTGAGACCTTCCTCCCATTGTGTGTGATGGAACATCTCAGAAATTTTCAATAATGATGACCTCACGCCTTACTAGCGATGTTAATTTTTGACTTTCTGTGCGAAATATCTTGATGGCTGAAGCGCTTGCAAACCGTCATACTACTATTATTAATAATGTAATATATCTTCACATCGTCGTCATGAGTTCCACTTGCGCATCACTCGTTTTCACTGATATGAACCTCACCCCGCCCTACTCTTTCTCATCTTATTCGACTAACTTGGTGAGTCGCAGGGTTTAGTTTCGAGACCTTCCACAGGATGAGCCCTCTGGTGTTTTTCTTAGTCCACTCCGGCTTAGTGCAGTGCATCTTATCCTGACCTTGATTTGGATCGTTCGTCTGATGAAATTCCCGTCAGCCCTGTTGATAGGGAGGGGAAATTTTTGCGATGTCGTTCTATGTTCCGCCACTCTTAAGTTAAGCTAATATTTTTATGATGATAGCAGCTTGCGTGTGCAGACGCCGCTTGACTTCATGCCATGAGAGGGGCTCGCACAAGCCGTTAAGTATTTCTTATAAGAGGCTACTGCAGGATTTATTCTCAGGTTAACGCGTCTTGTAGAACCGCCAGTCAATACCTTCGACCGAGTAACACCTATTGCACACGACTGTCTTTTCTATTTTCCATTGCTAACTTGCTTCCAGTCACTAATTTGTATTGACCGCTTCTCCGAGAGTAAAAAAAAATTTGTACAGGAAAAATTTCTTTCTTTAAAGAAAGAAAGGACTTCAAAGGAGCGCAACGGACACATCTCACGCGCGTCTGGCTCACCCATGCAGTCGTTACCTACCCGCTCGCTTGAGTGTCGTAAGCGAAAGCCGAGGTCACTCATCCAGAGCTTGATTTAGCAAGAACGCAACAACCTGATACAATGTTATACTACCTACTATCTATCTAAACAATAAAAATACAACGTGAAGGAAATATATTCATATGTAAATGTCTTACACATACAGAAACTAATTGCAAAATACTTACAAGCCACAAGGAGAACAGAAGGTCTAGGTCTTGAGAACGTACAAGAGCCGAGCCAATTCTAACAATAGTCATTAGTTCTAGAGTGGAGTAACTTACTAGTATAAACTATTGTATGGACTGCTGTGTACATGTGAGCGCGAGATCAGAAATTTCACGCCAGACAGCCGAGAATTTAATTTTATACACGTTTTAATTGCGAACTGTAGACAACTTGGCATGCCACGTGATTCCGTGAGCCAGCCTGCACCACTGAACACTTGCAAGGCTACCTGGCGGCAGAAGCGACTAGCGCAAATGTTCGGTGCAATATTATTAAAACAAGCAATTATTTTGTTTCTAAAACAAAATTATTTGTTAAACATTTTGAAACGCAATTTTATTCCTTGAAAGGAAGGAAAGTTTATTATGTCGGATGGTATCTCTAGAAGACGTTTCACAAACCCATACCAATATACATTCTATTTACGACTCGTGCTTTTGATTCACCTCCCTTAACAGCATGACGACTTTATTGACGCTGTTACCATGTCTAGTCTAGTAATTACTCTTGAGGGCTGTAAACCAAGTAATTATCTTGAAGCTCTCAGGATGAAAATGAGGCGAGACCAAGAACCTGATGTTATGGTAAATTAAAGCGCACCAATGAACAGAATCAAACCCCCAGAACTACTACTCAAGCAGAGTAAATACCGGTACCACACGAAATCCTTTTGATAAAGATTCATGACGGAGATTCAATCCCCCGAGATGCAGACGGGATCTCGAGTTTGTATACTACGTGTTATGAATAGCCAGTGCAGTGAGGTTAGTAAAGAGCATTGAGGCTAGGACAGTTTACTGGTGGTCTGACACCGACGCCCCTTGCAGCCGCTTGCTCGGTCGCGTCCACACGCACAAGGCGGCACGTGATTAGGCGTCCACGCACCCAGGCTTTGGTTCGCGTAGTAATCCATGGGGTAATGCGTGGCGCTCCATTGCGCCAGCTTCAGGGCCACCATCGCCTCGTATGGGGTGAGGAGCGGCTGGTTGAAGTGGTGCCCCCAGTCTATGGACAGTCGTGGACACGCGACCTGCACCCAGGCCTCGACGTGTCGACCCATCGCATTGAAGAGGTCAGGGTACACTTGGTCGTGGTCAACGGATATTACCTTCTTGCCGGCTGCGATGAGTTGACTCTGAGGCGTGTAAGACAAATTGCTACCGAGGCCTTACAAATTTGGGAATGCAATTGTTACGCTTATTTTTATTGACTGAAAGTTTCTCGGAAACTTCATAATGTCATGAAATGGAAGAAAAATCAAGCAGATTAAAGAAAATATTTTCTAGATGACTAAAAATAATGAGACGAAGATGAAGTAGAATTATCAGAAACAAAACTTAGAATCTGCACACATAATTTGGCCAATTACGGTACCGCGTATAGAAGACAAAAAAATGAGCTTATATCTAGAAAAATCATGATATAAGAATATGTTTTCAATTCAAATCACAATATACTTTCGATTTTCGAACTGTCGAGTAATTCCCCCAACCTGGATATGCTTCCTGACGCCATCGTTGCCCTGCCTGCCCAGCGTGGAGAAGATGATGCCCCAGACGTGCGCGTCAGAGGCTGCGTCGATTGCCTTGCGCCGGTTGTGCTTCATGAGAGGCTGGTCGTAGTATTCTCTGGACAGTACTTTGTTGTACGGATTGTATCTGATGAAAACAAACATTCAACAGGTAACTTCTCCGCCAGGTCAGTTGCTTGAGAGTATGTGATTTGAAACGATTAGATTAAGCTCGTAATGATTTGGTAAGTAAATTATGCATGAAATCGCAATAATTTTAGCATATTTTCATCATCAAATTCACACGAGGAAAGAAACCGACGCTCGGTTGAACGGTTGAATTTCATGCGGCAAAATTTTTTTAAATGATGGATAAGCATACCGGTACTGCTCATTGAAGACATACAGCTATGCGATGATGTAATCCAACAATGAGCAAATAATTTACAAGGAAAAGATCAAATTTGCTCAATCATATGCAATTTAGTACATAAATCTTCACACAGAAGACGATACTCACAAATAAGTATCCAGTTCGGGATTTGATATCATGATGGACTCCAAGTGAAACCTTCCATCGCCGAGTGCAACGATTGTGTAGTGAGGGTGAGACGGCAGGGGCGGTGATGTGCAGCCTAGCACCTCGCCAGGAGAGAGAGGGCGACTCTGAGGCACTAAAACGTCGTAGCCTTCATCACGTAACGCAATGGCTAACTTCTGAAGCGACCCTACAAACTGTACAATGGAAACTAGTGCTAACGGAGTTTTAATATCGAACGTCGCTCTGATCATCTTCATGAAGTGTGCAGAATCAAACTGAATATCAACAAAGACGTACATGATAGGAATAACAGTTTTGTCAATAGGAACTAAACATGAATGTCCATAGTGAACTAAAAGATCAGCATTGATACGTGCAGCGCTAATATCATCTACGCAGCAAGCACCATACGTCACATCTGCCATGTTGATGCACACAACGTCACAGTATGACTGCAAAATGTTAGATATTGTTTCTGCAAATATTTGAAGGCCCTCTGGCAGTTGTAAGGCAACAATTTTGGCCTGCAGCTGCTTAATTTTCCAAATGGTTTTAGGGATTTCAAAATTATAATTTTCGGGGAGCTCTTGAAGGGCTTTCATAAGCTTTGGGTCATTTTCTATTTCAGGAGGAACCCCCTTAAGGAGAGCTCGGGATGGCTTGAACACCTTCACTTTCTTGGAAGGTTCAACTGCCCCACTTTTGTGTCCAGTGGATGGAGAGTTTTCCATAATACTTGCTGAGTTAATTTCTCTGTAAAACAATTTGGCTTTATGAGTCACATAATTTCTAGATTGCCATCAGCATAATAAGTAAAAATTGTCAATACTACTTAGGCTATTGTAAAGCAATGAAGTATAGCACCTACCACAAGCACCTCAAGAAAGTGAGATATTGGAGTTCACAGACGAGTTGAATACATACAAGGGTAGCAGCTTCAAATGTCCATTATGTGAGGTAAGTAAAGTATTTATACAGAAAAATTAAAGAAAAATATGACAAGATTAAATTTATTGTGAACTTTCATATTCAACTTCAATATTCAACTATCTGGATGACAGACAGAGCACATGTATAAACTGTTTTTCAATTGGTGTTCACAGAACACCAATACTGGGAATCCTTGGTTTTTCAACTATTTAGAACTGAACCAAATTACCATTTTACTGATAAATTAAAACAAATTTTTGAGGAGTTGAACACCTGATCACTTGAAACACTTTGCAAGTAGAAAGCTCATATGACCAAATAATTTGTAGCATTGCTTCTTGTTCTTAATTATGCCATTGTCCTAATTCTAATATCTCTACAAATCATTCTAGCATTTGCTCATGAAAGTTTTTACAATTAATTTTTTCTTGCACACTTATTTCACCCATTATATACAGGTCCAAAGATAGCTAGCAATTATAGCCTAAACAAAGATAAGAGAAAGCCAGTAGGCCAACCATTGTACTAACAAAAGAATTCATCAACAAATAGAAAAATGGCACACATATTTCTGATCTTAATGCTTATTTCACCTATGGTGACATGCAGCAACAATTGTATTGGCTGTTAAGTGCAATATGTAACATTTCAGATACTTTCTTGCAGTGGGACAAAATCTTTTTAAGATGGAAATTTGCTTCATCAATAGTCACTGACTTAACATGTTTTTTTTTAATGTTTCAACTGTTTAATTCATTAAGAGTTGATATTTTAATGCATTCATGATGTGATAGATACATAAAAGTATCATGCATCATGAAATTCATTGCCAAGTTGAAAATCTGCCATTTGCTTAAAAGAATTTAATAGTGTTAGTATCATGATAACTCAAACACAAGACTCAAAACCAGCACCAACATACTTGAATTTTGGGAATCCACAGACATGTATTTCAGTTTTAGGATAAATGCCATGGCTCTATCCCTCAAAAACACATTGATAAAATAAAACAAAACAAAAAAAAACTTTTAAAACCACGTTTTCTTGACGGACAAAAAAGAAAAACATTTACTCTTACATAACATTTAAGTTATGTAAAATGTTATGTAATGTTATGAGGGAGTAAATATTTTTCTTTTTTGTCCGTTAAGAAAACGTGGTTGTAGAAGTTTTTTTGTTTTATTTCACTATTTTTAGTTTTGTAAAAACCAGAAAAACAGGGTTTTTAAAAAAATATTTTTTATATTTATTTTCTACTTTTTAGTTAGCAATTTTAGCAATTCAAATCAATTTCCAGGGTTGACAAGTGTGGATGTTCGAGAAAAAACTCAATTCCAAACCGTGAATTTTTAGTGTTTTTTTTTATTTCTTTAATTAAAAAAATTTTTTTAAATTATTATTTCTGATGATTAAATCTTGAATTGTTAGGCAGAATAAGCATGCATGCCAAATTTCAACTTACTAGGATGTTTAGAAGTGCTCTAAATTAAGGTTTGAATTTTTGATGACAGACAGACATGAAACGAAGTCAAGAAAAATGTGGTAATAATATATAGGCCATAGGGAATTTCTGCGGTCAAATACATATTTCCTGAATTTGGGTGTTTTGTTAAACACAAACATGGAACTAAGATGGCTGATGCAGATCCACAAAAGACACCAATGTAAGGACAAGGTGGCTGATGCCTGATAAAGATTTTCAAAAGACACCAATATCTCAAGCTAAAAGGACCTACTCTACAGACTGAGCAAATACTATAGTTATATGACCAAATTTCAAACCGCAAGTCAAATCTATGCAGGAATCCTAATTGAATAAATTGATTGATGTGGAGCACAAAATGAAAATATACACTTGACACAGTTCACAGTATATGTAAAGATAAATGCAAATTGGGAAAAAAACAACAACAAAAATTACTGACAAGTTATTTAATGATGTGGCCAGGATTTCAAGAAAAATAATGTAGGTAAGTAAGCCGTAAGGTAACCCTTGCACTGCAGGCCTTGATTAGGCTTGCTATAAACACTTGAGGTATATATAGAAGTATACCTAGTCCAAGATCCAACCCAAGTTAAATATGATTTATAAATGCTTATTTGCCAGTTAATTTTATGCCATCAAGGCCCAAGGGCAATAGACACTAGAGATGTTCACTCAATGAACGCAGCTGACTCTCTTATGCCTGTCGGCTGTCGCCGTATCTCCCTGAGCCTGGGGGCTAGTGCCTAGGGCCCTAGTGGCACATGTCGGAGGCCAGCTTTGTCAAACTTAACACTTAGTTTATATTCCTTTCCATAGGTAAGAATGCTAGAGTGCATTACTGTGCATAGGGTAAAGTCCATAGTGATAGTGGCAAAGCAGAGAGTTTTTTAGACTCTCCCTCAAGTTCATTTTTGAGTCCTATAGGCTATAAGTAGACCAGAAAAGTATATGGATACCAGCATTATCATATTTAATAAATGTGATAAAATCTTGAGTAAATTAGGAAATTAAAAATGAACTGATTCTAAAAAATCTCTGGTTTGTCACTATGGCCGGTAAACACACCATATTCTGACACCTTAAGGACGTAGCAAGAAATAAATGGCTATAAATAGATCACTGTATCAGTGTATGCGCAACTTGAGTTCTGATTCGTTTACGTCACTCTCAAAACACCACACTATGCGCTAGCCTAGTCCTCTGGCTTAACCTCTTCAGGCCTAACCTATACAAGCTGCAACCTTTCTTCACATTTCACCAAAACAATACCTGAGTGGACAACCTAACCTAACCTCATTGACTGCAAGAAGTTTGGGTAACACTTAAAAGCTGAAGACGCCGAAGATGCTGAAGTGGCGAACTCGCCACATGTTCCGCACTTCAAGTTCAGCGTCTTCAGCTACTTCAGCGCCTTCAGCTTTTAAGTGTGACCCAAGAAGTTTGAAAGGCAGCCAAAGACTCCAAGTGTCAAGTTGTCAACTGTCATGTGTGCTAGTCACTGAACACTGACTCATAGTGACAAAGCAGAGAGTTTTTTAGACTCTCTCTCAAGTTCATTTTTGAGTCCTATAAGTAGACCAATAAAGTATCCTGGATACCAGTATTATCATACATAAGAAATAGGTTTAAATCTTCAGTAAATGAGGATATTAAAAATGAACTGATTCTAAAGAAGCTCTGGTTTGCCAGTTTGCACTGACTCACTGCTAGTAGAGGCAGACGCCAGTCATTGGCTGCAAGCCTGCAACAGTGCAACCTGCAAGAAGGTTGTGAACTTGTGAGCCGGGACAGCGTGAATAGGTTAGGCCAGAGTCGGTACAGCCGGATGGGGAACTGCCTAGTGCCTGCTTCTGAGCGAGCATGCTTATTGCTTAAGCATTGGCTGAAGACTACGGCGCTATTATTACCTTTCGGCAGTATGTCGCTTGTCTGGATTACGGAGTTCAAGCGTAGTCTGCGGCTTCTAGTTCTGAGGCTGAGTAAAGTTAATGCATGATGAAGTTAGCTAGGCGTTGGTTCTAGCCTCCAGGGCTTATTTATGAGTAAAATTTGTGGCTTACGCTTACGGCTGCGCCGGGGCACCCCCTCTCCCTGCTGTGGTCCGGCTTGATTTTCATCGTCCGCTGGATTTGGATTTGGGGCGTGGTGACTCTGAGAAAAAGAATTTCAGGGTCAGGCCTTTGCAACGGCCATCAGCCACGCATCACATTTTCATTTGTTAGTAAGAAAGACGTTTCAGAAGATTCTCTATCGATTAGTTTGATCGAGAAATGAACTTTTCTGTGACCCGAATATGTTGGTGTGACGAAATTTTTCTAAGTAAATATCAAAATTTTATATGTGAAATTAAAAGTTTTCTCGACGTTTCAGATGATTTGCAGCCTTTTATTTTTTTGATTCTGGTCCGCCGGACCGGTCCGGGTCCGGGTTTTAGTCACTCGGTCCGGGTCCGGCGGACCGGTCCGGGTCCGGGTTTTAGTCAGTACCGCCACCAGTCGTTTCACAGTTTAATTTCTAGCTCACTCTCACCAGCCGGTGGTTGTTGTGTGAAAGAAGACATGAAAGAATTAGTTACTAGGCATCTTCATAGGGTCATTAGGGTGTAATGATTCCTTAATGACCATCACTTTGCGAATTGTATATTTTTATTTATGATTGGTTGTGAACTTGTGAGTCTTTGACTATGTAGAAAATGCACCTGAAAAGTCCATAAACTAGCGAACTATAAGTCATAAAATACATTCGCAAACGGCAAGCATAGTGTTTCTGCATCATAAAATATAACATCGTTGACATAATTAGACCGCTTAATTACTCCGACATGACTAGCAAACTCATCATTTCGGATCCCATCTTTGCCTCCGAAGCTTTGTCCAACCAAACCTAATTTAGTATTAATCTCCTGCTTTCAATTTCGGTTGGCAAGTTATTTTGTAGGCCTAGAAGTCTATAAAGTATGGTGGTTAAAGTTTTAGCGCCGTATGTCAGGGTAACGCTAAAAGGTTAGACACCGCATCGACACTTTTGCCCCAAATTAGGCCCAATTTTGTTTCTGTTTGCTCACCTGATATGATTCTCAAAGAGCGATCATGATTGAGCAATGACCATGCGCTTGGCTCTTTGGCTTCAAGCCATGCAGAACTAATTCAACGTAAATGTTACATGTATACCGTCTAACCGTAAATTTGTCCGAGACCCGAGTAGAGGCTTGTTAATAATTAAACATGAGCGAAAGAATTAGATAAACGGCCGCAAGTCTGGCTGAGGGCGTATCGTATCAAATAGATCGACTTCATAATTTGCACAATACAGATTAAAACTTGAACGATCGAATGCATTGTAAAGGAACACTCATTTGTTAAGTATTTCAAGCTGATATTTATAAAACTCGTATGAGATTCATTGAGCCTATGTCTTCAATAATAAATTTTCAATATTTTTCTACATAAATTTTCCATTCAATCTTAATTATGAAGAGTAAAAGGAGCTATCGTATTAGTGATTAGTCGGTATTACAGAAAAACAACAGCTTGCGTCTGTTGCTTGTACGAGCTTCGAAATGTAACTTAAAATCAATGTATGCAATAAAAATAATAACAGAACAGGCAGATATTTTAATTTACGTATAAATATATAAAATTTATACAAGTTTGATTGAAGACTACAGAGTGAGTTTTATTTATGACTGTCTGAATGTCTCCAATAAATGAATGAATTATGAATTTCCCCAAATGAATTATGAATGTCTCCAATAAAACTTGTCTAAATGAACAAATATTGCCATCGTATAATAATATAAATAATTATACATACAGAACACACTCAAGTTCCAGAATATCTTAATGAGTCTATCCACTTGATAATTGAAGTTTGTTATCTTATAGAATATTTATAATAAGTCTCCCAAATCCTCACTGTAAACATAATAAATTACCAATCTTAATAATGGTAATACGAAACAAGAACTGGTCTACTGGAATAACTTGACTTATAGCGCTGAAAACACAACTTAGCCTTATTAATGTGTAATATAACGTTCAAGACTTACGCGTTCAAGAACAGACTGGACAATGCCATGCAGGAGCATATGTTTAGTCTTAAAATGCCTCGTATACTACGGAACAACTGAAATCTAGAAGCGATTTTAAATCTACAGTCCGTTGAAAAGATTTGATCAAAAGGCCAGTCTAGCCAAGAAAAGTACAAGAATCGGCGACAGGCCTATCCAGGCCTATTCTTCAATGCCGAAGATACTATACTTAACTATATTTAAAATTGATCTATCTTAGACGGGGATGACGCACGGCGCAGCCTCGCCCTGCGGTCGTCTGAGGGAGAGCTGCTCTGACACGTACAGCTGCTGGCGCTCCTGTTCCTCCGCCTTCGTGAGCTGGCCAGGGTTCTGCTCGGGCTTCACGCGCTGCGATGCACGCAGTTGTTGCATATGCTGCCGCTTCTTGCGTTGGAAGAACCCGCACTGCAAACAACTCAAACTCATAATAATACTAATATATTTAAGTCTTAATGATTGCTAGTGACGATAGTTTCACCGAAAATTATGGCAGGTGAAGTGGACATGTTCTCCATGGATTAGGAATTCATAAACAGTGTTTTATTCCTTAATTTTTGGTTTCACATCAACAATAAGTCCTATTGTAACCTGAATATAGAATTGATGAGATTACATATATAATTTAAATTTGATCCCTAAAAAATTGATTACATCTAATCGAAAAAATCAAATTGTAATTCCATTTCATTGACATGCGAAGTCGTCCCGTTACTTGAATCCGAGTGCGTGTCATGTTAAGGCGATACCTCTTAAATATTGAAACACAGCCTACGATCAGCGCGCTCTGCACAGCTTACTGCCACGCACTCTGCACAGTTTTCTGCCGCGCAATTCTGTCAACTCTTCGTGGGACCTAACATTGGAGAGAGCGTGAGAGAAGATCGAAGCGAATTTAATGCGTCCTGTTTTTTGTTTTGTTTTGAAGCATTTACGAGAAGTAAATGTCGTTATTATTTCTGGCTTTACTGTTACCTAAAGTTTGATCTCCGTTCGTTTTATTAATGGCAGATACTGCTCATTCGGGTGTCACGCTAGTGTGTAGTGCCTTGGTTGAAAGTCACCAGATTCCAACACTCGCTTTCTGCTTCATTAAGTGGAATTTTCGCGACGATTACCTACTGTCCGCCAATTTACTACGCAATTTTTCTCAGCTATAGTCTGGTCTTGCAGAAGCCCAAAAACGCGCTCCACGAAGTGTGATATTATGGAAAAGACGTGTATCGGTGGTGCCCGCTAGCGGCCGTCCGCGGTTTGAGGGTCATAATATGACGATAAAGTTGACTTTGCTTAGCCATTGCTCGTATAGAAACAAGTATAATATTTAGGGCAGGAAAACTGCGTTGGACACTGCAGGCGACTGCTACTTGCATGGCAATCATCGGTTATAAACTAGCATAAATATACTTATGAACAGAGCCATAATCAAAATTACCCAGGAAATGCACTTGTTTTGCACATTTTTAGTTTTTGTTTCGCACAGCCTGCACACCTCGCACCTCACACAGCCTGCACACCTCGCACCTCACACAGCCTGCACACCTCACACCTCACACAGCCTGCACACCTCACACCTCACACAGCCTGCACACCTCACACCTCACACAGCCTGCACACCTTGCACCTCACACANTCGACAGGCCTACGGCCTAATAAATGCTGAAGCCGCTAGTATTATTATTATTATTATGTCCAAGTTGTGCTCGTTCTCACCGGGGGCGGGATGAGCGTGACGGAGGTCTGGATCTCGATAACATCGCCGGTGCTCTGCAGCTCAGCTTGCGATGACATCAGGATGTTGCGGTGCTTCTGATCAGCATAAAACAGCGTCAAATATTTCCGGTAATCATTTATAAATCGAAGTATTGTGGCCATAAAGATTAATAATAATAAAACAATGAAGATTAATTAGTTACCACAGAGAAAATGACCACCTAATGTATTATTTTCCTGCGTTAATCCATAATTGCTCAATAAAACGCCCGCCTAATCTATTATATGTATATATGTTAAAGTTTGTGTGTTTATTAGTGCGTGCAGTGCATGGCACTGCAAATATATAGGGGTTGTTTGGGCACGTAACCACGCTACTCAGCGTGTCGTGATATTACCCTATATAAATAATAATTTTTGTGTTTGAATTATAAGGCATTTCAGTACATGGAGGAAAAGGGTAAATCATAAAATTGAAATGTTATTTCAAATATGAAATTTTCAGAATTTTAATTTTTTCTGAAGACTGAAGAATGAATATATATTTTTTAAATTTCAAATTGGAAGCTGAATTGGAGTAAAATGCTAATTATTGCTTTGGATAACAGGATTATTAAATTTCACATATCATTCCGAGTGACGCCCGGTTAGCCTTTGTCTATTATATATTCATGAATTTGTTTGAGTCTCATTCATAAATCTAATTGGCTGAACTTGCTTAATAATTTGAATTGTTTGATATTCATGTAACAAAATATCGTCAAGGTCTTTTATCTTTTTATTTATTTTCGACTTAATATTTTCGTCTGATCATTATTATTTACTTTCAAAGTGACACTATTTAGTGTTTTGTAGCAGATAAGCATCAAGATTTTTACCAAAACCTCAGTCAGAGGGTTTAATACTTTACCACAGTCAAAGATTAAACGTTCGACAATGCTATTCCTATGTATAACCAAATTATCCTCCAACAGAGCAGTGCTTCCACCTAGACGGGGACCATGCAGCAGCTTACCTTCTGCAGGGCGGCGACCGCGACGCGGCCCTTGACCGAGACCTGCGCCACCTCCCCCGCCAGGAGGCCCGTCAGCGAGCAACTGCTCGCAGGGAAGTCATCAGTTAACACAAGTAAAATAAATTAGTTTGCGTTAATACTGATTATACTTATACGAATAATCGTTAATGTCAGATCAGGCAAGACTGCGAAGTAATTCAACGCGGGGAATATCCTCGACTGTCAAGTAGAACTGCGAGGCAATTGAACAGATGAATATCTGCAGCTCAAGTTCATACATCACTCACTTGATGACGTAACGTCACTCACTTGATGACGTAACACACGTCACTCACTCGATGACGTAACGCGTCACTCACTTGATGACGTAACACACGTCACTCACTTGATGACGTAACACACGTCACTCACTTGATGACGTAACACTCCATCAAGGCGCAGCTGATGCTGGGAACAACAATTCTAGCGCTGCGGCCGCTGGCTGTCGCTTCATCGCTGGTCGATAAAAATAACGCATTGAATGATTCGAAATTGTCATAATCTTGTACTGCTTATTGCTACCCATGTATAAATGGCCAGTGCAGTCCCAAATGTCTATAGTAAATAAAGATTGATGACCATCTTGAGGCGGGCAACACGAAATAAATAGAAGCAACTGGTAAAAGAAGTCATACTAGGAGAGAGAAACTTATTGTTGCAAACGTGACAGTGATGTTATTGAGAATATTTTGAAAAGTTCGCCGATTTTATCATAAAGGTTGGAATACACAATAATACGGATAAATAATAATGCGCGTTTTCACCTCTATAATGTGTTAGTATATATTGCGGAGTCTTATCAGAGGAAATAATGCTTTTAATTATTACTCACTCTTCGTGGGCCATGCTTCTTTTTCTGCGTTGGAATGGACCTATGGAAATATGCATGAGTCAAGACTGAGCCGTGGTTCGAGGCAGCAAAAAAAATGTACCACAGAGTCTGCTTTTCTTGCCAATAAGATTAGAGCATTTTTTGAGATCTGAGGCATCATATTAAGCGTGTAAGATTCGAGAATGCAGGGCAGATTTATCTATCACAATGCGTCAACAAAGACGTATTACAGGGCGCCAGAATATCATAGGGACATACAGACTATACTTATTCAGTAATGTTCGCGCTGACCTTGCGAGGAACCGTTGACAGTTGTCGAGACGTTGGCCTGGATCTCTAAGTCTCCTTCGCCAAAGAAGGAGGCGTCATTCAAAATTTCTTCATCCTGTGGACAAATTTGGTTAAATTCCTTCATTGCAATGTATTTTCGATGCATTCACGTTGGATATGAATGTCCTAAGTAATTCTTAACTCAAGAAAGTATTCGGGAGGAAAATCTTGAATGAGCTCAATGATTAGTTTGCGGTAATTTTTGACGCCTCAGCCTAAACCAAGCCAGCCACTGCTAAATATTGGTACAAATGACGAAGATATGTTATGGAAATAACAACTAATTAATCTCATTCGCATTTATGCCATAATTTTAGGCGTTAAAATTGCGGAAAAGCCAACATTGAACATATTAAGCTTTGTGTCTAAGACAATACACGAGAATTTAGAAGTGAATAGAGTGACAAAAAATTTTAAATTTGGAAATACTCGACGATAAAAAAATTGATGAATATTTTGATCGGATTATAAACATTATTTATGACATTGGAAGTTGATCCCAAATGAAACCAATATCGAAGTTGCATTGCCCTCAACGTGTCTCTCACCAGAATTGTCTCCGCCGAAAAATATTAATTTAAAGCTGGCTTATTATTTGACCCTTTGTCCACTGACTCGCATTTCCAAGCCAGTCGACCCAATTTGCACTTCAAACGGTTAAAGTATCCGGTTAGAGAATGAGAGTAAATGAAGTCACATCACTGGTTCACTTGTGAATAATATGCGACACTGCTAACGTTATCAATGTTAATATCGTAGTTTGTTATATTATCGCAATGTTATACTCACGCTGTGGTGGATGTTGCTGAAGTTGAGCTCATTGGCGTGCACGGGCAGGCAAGTTACAGGGCCTTTGGTGCTGGGCTCCTCGGTGATGTACAGCAGCGGGAGCGTCAGGTTCGGACCAACAGGTATGCTGCGCGGCCACTCCAAGATAATCTGATGCGAGTTAATTGTAGGAATGTTCCTTACTTAGACATGATGTACGAGAGCTCACATATAGATTCTTTGCTTGTCCACAGGAGATCTCAAAACAGATCCTTTGACCGGATCTTTTCCAAACTGACGATAGTGTGAAACAGCTACTAGACTTCCACTGGGTTCGGTATGGTGCAAGGCATTTCATGTCTGAACATTTATTCAGTGGTGGGCACAGTCCGCTAATCTGCTTACCGCTAATTAGCGAAGCTGACGTTTTCCTCAGCCGGTGTGCCACACTAATGGCTGACTACGTCAACATATGTTCGTCAACCAATCACTTCTCGTGTAACACAAGACGTCTAATTAACACAGCTCAACCTCACCAAGCTTACAGAAAGCTACGGAATACCATGCCTAGGCAGGAGGAAGCATTATGCAGAGCAAACGAAAATCATACGACTTGATAATATGTAAAAAAAATAAAAATAATACGACTTGAAATCCGTTGATGAGAAGAGTTTGGCAGGCTTTTTGGGGACCGAGCTCTCGTTCTTGACTTAAATTTGAATCTTGACTACGACCCTCACATGATTAATATTGTGGTAGAGCTCTACGTAGATGAGAGAGGAACCGACCTGGTCATGCAGGATGGGCGCAGGGCCGCGGTTGCTGATGGTGTAGGAGTGCACCACCAGAGGGCCGAGCTTCTCGACGCTCAGAGAGCCGCTGGAGGTCGTGGGGTTCAACAGCTGCTCAGCCCTCAGAGTCTCGTTCACCAACACGCGCACCTGCTCTGGCCGGCTCGAGCTGAGGGTGCATAATACAATACTTATGGATTAATTGATTCAATATATAGAATATGTGATTTCAAAAGCAAAAACTGACATGACAAATATGGAATTCCTCTGAATAACAGAAAAACTCTCATGAAATGTGCACTGTTTAAAATATGAAACAAATAATCATGATGCTGTCTTTAGTCCCAGTTGAGAACGAAAATCTCACACAATCATAATAAAAGCCTATTGAAGATGCACAAACGAAAAAATTCCGGACTATATAGAGATTCTTGACATTGCCTTATCATACTAGAAAGGATCAAATTTCAGTTTTTAAATCTTGTACCACCATCTGAAACGACGTGATACGCCTCAACTGCCTTCCAATGCAGCAGTGGCTAATCTAGACCCATCCCAACGTTGTAGTGATTCACACAGCCACATCCCAATGCTGTAGTGATTCACGTAGTATCCTCCCAAGGCAATCGTGACTCACCCAGTGAGTTTGACCTCGCGCCGCTGCTCATGACTGAGCCTGACGAAGAAGTAGTTGTCGCTGGGCTTGAGGTCCGGCACGTCGCTGGACACGTTCAAGTGGATGGGCAGGTAAGAACCAGAAACGAGCCCTGCATCAATGGCCCCCAGCAGCGCCACCGGCGAGTGGTCGAAGTACAGCGTCGACGCTAACTGATCGTAACAAATCCTTATAAAATTCTCATGTATTCATAATACATTCATTAGTTAACACTATAAAAAGGAAGAAAGCGCTAAGTGAATTGATTATATCTTCACTAAAAACGTTTTGGGAACCAGCTGCATTATCAGTTCAACTACTGAGAGAATACAAGTATTTTCAAGAGAGACAAGCCTTACACATTAGATATTAAGATTTAAGTGCCGAGAAAAACGGGCCCGGAAGTATAACAATCTATCAACACGCGAATTGCAACTGAGAATGTTTGAAAAAGGAACTTATATTTCTAACTAGGTTCCTCGCTATATTTTATCGAAGTAAATTTCTGTTCTCAAATAATTTTCAGGAATAAGAATCATTAGACGTTTTCTATCATGCTGCATGCCATGCGCGACGCTAGAGTCTCAAAATCAATTAAGTGGACGGTAAGTCCTTCCCTGACCGCCACAATTCTGGCCACACGACTGCTATCAATGAATAGATTGAGTAACTGCGTGACGATAGTGTGTGACTAAGTACGCAAACGAGCTACAGATGTGCTGCTGCCATGGAGCTGTCCCATTTATTTATGAGTGCGTTGTCCTGAGCTGGTAAGAGACTGAGGGCGGTTTCTAGAAATACGTAAATATAGAACATTATTTTTCGGTGAAATTGACCCAAGTATCCTTGTTTACTGTCAATATAAGTAGCATGGTATTTATTGTGAAACAAAGTAGCAGGGTGTTCATGTGAAACTAAGCAGCATGCTATTTACTGTGAATCGAAGTGACATGGTATTTATTGTGAATATAAGTAGAATGTTATTTACTATGAATATAAGTAGCATGGTATTTATTGTGAATATAAGTAGTATGGTATTTATTATGAAGCATGGTATTTATTGTGAATATAAGTAGAATGGTATTCACTCTGAATATAAGTAACATAGTATTTGCTGTGAATGTAAGGAAGAAGGCATTAACTGTAACCATAACAGCTCCATATTCGTGTTCCAGCACACGAGCGTCACGGTTTTTCATGAGGCCAACCGACGCGTCCTCGTGTAATGTGACGTTGTGTTTCCTCGTTCAATGTGAAGCTGACCTGCGTGTCCTGGTTGGCAGATGCAGCGAGGCTACACTGCAGCACTGCAAAGTTATCAGCACTGGGTGCAGTATGGATGCAGTGTGGTATGCTGGTGGCACCCACGGCGTGAGTAAAGCTCAGCATGGATGGCACCTTCAGTTCCAGCATAATCTGGTACGCTGTGGCCTCCTTCACGGCCACCGTCACGTTTAGGCCCTGTCGTCCTCCTCCGATGATCAGAGGCTCGCTGCATACATTAAAAAATTAACAAGCGCGATGAAAAGACTATTCTATAAGGATAAAGATTTGACACTTGCGATTATGAGTAAAAGATCATACGAACGTAAGATTAATTTTTGGCAAAAATTTACTAATATAGAACTAATTTACCATTATTTTTCTTACAAGTCCAATAAAAATTTAAGTGGGGGCAGTGAATGACATTCACTTGATATTATATAGGTCGATTATCTCTATAAGGACCTAATATATTCAAGCTGGGATATCTAATCTAATGTCGATTGATTTCGTTACACACTACTGTAGACCTCATTTGCACAACGTGTTCCTAACACCGGGGCTTAATAATTGAGTAAAGTAGAAAATAGCTGAATTTTCTCGCAAAGTCGGAATTTACCCATTTTGGCGGCAGGCATTTTACGAGTATATTATGTCTGCATCCACTTTAGCGACTCAAAAGTCGCGAGTTGGATTTTTCAAGTAGATTTGTTGCATATTTTCTAACCATTAAAAAGTTTGAATTTCCTGTCTTCAGGTACGATGTATTGGGAAACTCTAATATGTAAGCAATTGCATCAAGCTGACACTATCATGAATACCAGCTATATTTTTAGGAAATTGTAGGAAAATTTATTAACAAACAGCTTATTTTTAATCCTTTTGTGACATTATTTGCCGTTGCTAAGAAGTAAGCACTGAACCGAAAGCTACAATGCACATCAACACAAAAACTGCTAGCCAGAAAAACAAAACTCTCTACAAAATTTCATGTCGCAAGATTCACATTCTACACCTTATGACCTTATGATGAGTTTAGGACTTCGTAGTCCAAGGTAAAGCTGATGCTCAGCATCAGCTTGACCTAGCCTAGCGGCATGTCAGGAAACTCACTAGCCATATTGAATTATTATGACCCTAAGTGGCATAGTGACAGAATCTGGCGATATCATCTGCCAAATATAACACACTTACAGTTGATAAAACGTTTGAAGTTTCCACACTCAATAAAGGCCATCCATTTCAAGTTACCACACTCACAGAAGAGAGCCGTTGAAAGTTGCCAGGCTCAAAGGTGACACATGTTTTTAAATTTCTCACACTCTGAAGTGCATGCGTTTCAAGTTATCACACTCACATTTGGCATGCGTTGCAGGTAGCCAGACTCACTGTTCAACGATGAGCTGGAGGTCAGACTTAGAAGAGCAACCCTGCTGGTCTTTGCAGTCAAGCCGAGCAGTGGCCTCCAGTCGGGCGTCCTCCAGCAAGGGTGGAACTGTGCGTGTGTCGTGGAATCGAGGCCGAGTCATCGAGATGTTCACGCTCGCCCACACCAGCTCCTTCAGAGACGGCCTGTCAGCCTGTATCAGGACGTCATAGTTGATGTCGTAGTTTTGAATATCAAATGTTGGTCGTAAATTTTAGAAAAAAACATCAACAGCTTTTTCATCGAAAAACTAACATATTCACAACGAAAAAAGAAGAAAATCATTCTACCAACGCCAAACAAGGGAGAATGATTTATTGGTATTAGTATTATTGGTAATTATTGATTTAATTAGTAAAAATACAAATTATACCAATTATTAATTTTTTCAGTATGCTAACGATCAGTTGCAGTACCTCACTTTTACGCTTGGTCGCATCACCTCACCTTAATATATACCAAAATGGTGAAGGACGTGGAAGGCTGGGAGACGTGCACCAGTGATACATTCTTCTGCAACCTGTGAAAAATTCGGTAGTCCATTGTGGCTTTTCTTTCGTAACGCTTAAGAATGATAACGATGACAACTTGTGTATTTCATTTCGCATAAATCTTGTGATAAAGTTTTCGGAACTTCAAACGTCCATAAATGATGTGAAGTTTTGTTGAAATTAAATTACTTAAAAACTTCAATTCAACAGCAAGTGAATGTTGAACAGCAATGATACCTTCTGCCGTTGTTTTCCCAGAACAGCGTTCGTTGGAAGGGGTAGCGTTCATCAACCGCGAAGCTTAGCGACACTTCTGCCAAGCGAACCATGTTTATAACAATCATTCGTAGTTTTACTTTCAAAGTACATGAATATTACACACATCGATAGCAATAAATGATGATTTTAGAGTTGAAATAACTTCTATAAGTTTAAGGCTGTAATAAATCTGTAAACGAACTAAAACTACATTTCCAAGTAAATTTTTCCTATCTGTTCTCCCCCCCCCCCAAAAAAAAACAGAAGCAAGCATTCCTATGTACGATTGATTGTGAGATACATCACGGAAATCTTAACAGGCAAGTTGATATTAGGTGTACATCATATAAATGCATGCATAACGTGTATTCGGGTGTGATCATTTTAAAAATGATGAATAGTTTATTTGAAAAAGATTTGTGGCACAAATACCGCAGCTTGAAGACCACATAAATCAGCTGCATTTTAAATAAAATAAATTCGTTTACGTCACATTTCAACCGAATATTTCCGACGTCAAAATATTATAAGTTTTAACGTGGGAAAATTGAAATTACGCCTTAGAACGCATATGAATAAATTATCATTCATTGCCTGTTTATTAATTTCCAGATTAAGTCCCAGATGTATTGTTTTGAAATACACACGTAACGTAACTTTTGTTAATCTGCACAAGCTGTGTAAAGTCAAACATTTCGCGGTAGTATTAACGTAATAATGAAGCCTTTCAGAGCGCTGCCACAATCAGCGATACAGAGTCTCGCAATGATCCAAATAAATCTATATTAGGAAAGTTGATTCCTTCCACAATGTAATAAATTTTAAAATGACTCCAATGAATAATTTCATAATTGCACTAGCATAATTTTTAACTACGTGATTAGGAGAAAATCAACCATGGTCTTTGTAATATCCTGCACCAAAATAGTTCGTGGATAAGCATGTGCGTAACTCGCCTACTTATGGTAACGAAATTTTCCCATCGAAACAAATAAGTTCGTTGATTCAGTGTCATTTGTTAGGAAAGATAATTACCGGTGTGTATAAATGCTTCGATCGGGCTGTCCGTGTCCATCTGCATTTTCTCATAAATACGTCCATTATAATAAATAAAAAGTTCGAAAATAAAGCAGTCTGACATATGTAATTCAAGTTGTCATTAGCTAAAATGATATTTAGAGTGAGACGATCAAGGGAATATTTAATTATTGTTGTATTATGTAGAAAAGTTGCCTAAATTGAATTTGGTTCGTTTTCTGACGCCGTTAAATTTGTTATATTTTTAACACGTTTTTCTTAGCTTAGCTTCGCGTTTGTTTGTTTGTTTGTTTATTTGTTTGTTTGTTTGTTTGTTGTTAACATTGACAACGAAAATTAGCCCACTTCTGATTGCCCTGGAGATCTGAAATTCGGCATGCAGGCTATTTTCGCCTAACAATTTCAGATACAATCATAAAAAAAGCACACAACACACGAATTTTGGAAATTTGATGGTGAACGTACAGCCCGCCCCACGTTTTTTGGGGTGAGCCATAATTTATTTTCTACTTTTTAGTACACAAGAAAAACGTGGTTTTTAAAAAAGTTTTTTAAGTATTTTATTATAATTCATAAAAACCTTATTTAGAATAGTATCAAGATCAAAAATATCCTCTTTAAAATAAGAACACCAAGTCTGAGCAATCAGTGTTGTGCGTTACACAACACTGATTAAGGTTCCACATTCTCTTATAAATTGTATACCACCCAAGATTGTCTTGATACTTCTACACACAGAGAGAGATTCAGTATGCAATGATTGATGCCGATTTCATTTTCTCTGGGAAGGTGTAATATGAAAAATAAAATTATACTAAGAACAAAATATTTGAACACATTCCGAAATCATAAGCTCTAATTAAATGGTGAAGAGTTAAAACAAAAAACATACCATGTTATACAGTCTGATAAAACTATTTGATTGATATCTGTTGAAATGACTCGCTGTTATATGCCTTAAACTCAACTTCACCACTCGATACGGCTTGCCGACGCGTTTATACCGCGCCTGGCACTTCTCCATGATAATACCTCAAGCTACGACATCTCTGCATTATGGTGCCTCAAGCTACGACATCTCTGCATGATGGTGCCTCAAGCTACGACATCTCTGCATGATGGTGCCTCAAGCTACGACACCTCTGCATGATGGTGCCTCAAGCTTTGACATCTCTGCCTCAAGCTACCTCATGACACGCAGCGTCTCACCTATGGTCTTGTTGTAGACAGACGAATTATACTGCAGTGCAGCGCTCAGCTCAAAGCAAGTGTAGGACTTCGTTTTGCCGGAAACAGTTTGATTGCAGGTGTTGTTTGCGGTGGCATGGGTGCTGAGCTGCACCACGCTGGGGGAGATCTTCAGGCTGCCAACAATCTTCAGTACCGGCGCACTCCTGCAATGTCGATAATTTATTACCGCCAATTTACAGTTTATGAAGAAATATCATTCAATAAAATACATAAAATGTAATATCAAGTAATAGAGTGTCGCGGTGGCTCAACTAGCCGTTCATTTAAAGCCAATAAGTCAAAAGTCAAGTATTAAAAACTACAATTTGCGATTAAAGAATTGAACTATGGCAATTGAAATGATTCGTAATGAACATTTCGAAGGAACAAACGCAGGTGAAAAGTTTTCACAAATCCACAGCTTACTTGCTGAGGTCTGAAGTGACATATGTCCATGGCATGCCAAGTCGTCCACGGTCGCCATTTTACTTCAAACATTATCGGATTCTTTTATAGTTCCTGATTCAGGACCACTATGGACATGAGAACTTTGAGAGCCGCTACGTTTGATCGTTAGAGCTCTAAAAATTAATAATTTGCCTTAATGAACTCCCTTGTTTCTCGGGTGAAATTTCCTTCACGCACCTAACGTAGAGAGCCGCATCGGCAGCCACGGCCCCCACCAGGAGGTCCGGGCAGCCGTTGCCGTCGAGGTCCTGACGCCCCGACAAGCTGAAGCCAAAGCGCGCGGGCTGGAGAGATCGCGTCGACAGCGCGCTCTCGCCCCTCAAAATCTGCCGGCGAGTTTAAAATACAGGAGCAATTTTAGCGTTGCGGATTTCGCGAAAAATGTCGTCCTCTAATCTTTGCTTCATCGATACAACAGAAATTTGCAGGCAACAACATTGTGACACAATTTAAACGGGATACAAAGATAATTCCACATTATAATTCAGCTACTTCTCCAGTATTAAATGTATTATTTGCTAGATTTCAAGAACATTATTCTAGGATAATTATTATTCACAGCAAGATTACACATACATTTACGTGATGAAACGAAATAATCCTGTAATATACCAACGAATTTTATTGACAATTACACTTTGATGCGTTCGCAGAATCTATCGCAGAAAATATATTCGTGGTGAACGGGTTTCTATTGAGAAGTAGACGGGTTTCCATTGAATAAAAATAAATAAATACATCCGCGCGGGCACTGCTTTGCCAACGCGACCAAAGCCTAGCAATCACTTGTGAGGCTGCTGTCCGCAGGCCGTCGGGGCTGCCGTTGAAGATGAAGACTTTGCCGTGACCATCATCAGGCGCTCCTACCACCAGGTCTGCAATCAGAGGATATAAAAGTTTAACTTTCGTTTTGTTTAATAGCCATTTTTTTACTTTCATGAATAAGTGCGTTTTCATCAAAATTTTTCACAAATTATTTTTCACATTGAAGATGTTTGTTGGTGAGCCTATATGAACGTCTCAGCCAATTATGGTTGCCAGTTACTTGAACACAAAGGAGACCGGACCTTCATGTCCATCGGTGTCGAGGTCCCCGGCGTTGAGGAGGGAAAGGCCAAAGTGTGCGCCCTCCACAGCAGAGCGCAAGACGGCGTCGCTCCTTCCCACCGACTGCATCAACACAGAACATATTCGAGTATATACACGCTTCACACTTCTAAACTTGTGACTCGCCGTACTTTAGGATAACTAATATCGAATGAGTAAGAAAGAGAGAAAAAAATAAAATTCCGTCGAATTCTGTCAGTAGGCTATATCAATAGCAGACTCCAACCATTCGGTGACCTAATGCGGCCCTCATAAATATGCAGTTCTCAATAACGTTACTAAGGAATTTATGATTGCTATCCATTAGTAATTTAATTTTTGATCCATAATTAATTAAATTTCTAATTTTAAGTTAAGACAGGTATGGTTCACTGATTCTCTTGATTTGCTGTTGATGAAACAACTACATTCTGAATCATCAAATCACTTCTCTGGAAAACGGAAGTTAATATAACTTTTAAATGTCCTTAGAAAGTTAAAGTCTTCAAACATGAACTTCATCTGGCCCTAAAATGTCAGACGACGAACTGTACATAACGCCAAAGACTTCTTAATTGTTACCACTGTCGTGAATGACTGCTTTTTGTATGCCTGGTCGTCCAGCGAACATGCAAGGACCTGGAAATAATTTGCGCTAACGTAATTATCTTTAGTGACGTCATATTTAGCATGTGTTTGGTATACGTTCTTATTGATGAGATTTAGTCCCGAGCATTGACTCACATCAGACAAAGGTCCGTACGTGATATGCACGGCCCCGGCATCAGCTGAAGTGTCTCGGCTGGTATACGGGGCACCCACAGCGAGGTCAGCCACACCGTCACCATCCCAGTCCCCGGCGGCGAGAGCGTAGCCATACATGGCGCTGAACTCGGCGCCTGTGAGGGACACGCCGCTGCGTGGGCGACACGGACTCAACTCACGATGAGCCATGGAGTAGATACTCACCTGGGACCGTATGAAAGATTAAAATGTTAAGAAAGTATGCGATTTAATAACCAAATTTTTCAATAAAATTTCTAAGGCCTTAGTTAATTGGAATTAAAACTTTCCTCATGAAAGACTACTGAATGATTAAAAAACTAAGCCTTCATCGTAAGAGCTTTCATAAAGAGCCAATGGGCCAGTTAACATTTTTTACGAATCGTGCCTTATGCAACGATCTTAAATTTAGTCTCAATGGCAATCAGTGTTAGATGGCGTGGGCCTTCTTATGACCAGTTTAATAAACTATACGGGCAACTCTACCGAAAAATTGAATGACAACACACACGGAGGTTGAGCTGCTACACTGATGTATTGTAGGAGCTTTAATGTCTCTTAATGAACGGCAAATAGAATTGTAACTTGACATAGGTTTTAAAGCTTATGAAGGCTCGCATACAAATAATACAGATTCTAACATTGTATTGTCTCAACAAGATCCAAGTGCATCCGCACTTTGATTGTCATTTATCCTCACAGCTCCATTCATGTCGTCTTTGTTGGGTGAAGACGCGACCAAGAACTCTTTGGTGCCGTCCATCTTGGCGACGATCACCGCCCAGAACTCCATCTTGTAGTCTAAATGAGTGCCTTTGCTTTCTTCTGGATAATTCGAGAAGCCTCCTGACGACTCCCAGAAGATTGCACCTACAGATATAAATAGCAAGCTGAGTACTGAAATAGCTAGGAACTCCTGTAAGTTCGAAGAGATTATTCTTTTTAAAAGTTAAACTCCCAGTCTGAACGTTTACATTAATGAACCAATAACAATGTCCGTCTTAATTGATGAAATGTTTAAAAAGGTTTTTGAAGAGGGCGTTATTCAATGAAACAAACCGGGTTCATAGGAAAAAATTTTACGAACTTTCATTCATCCCGTTCATATTCATTCATAAACACGTTCAATCAATGCGATTTATTTTTATCAGAAAAATTTTTTAAACAAATAAATGTATATGATTCCAATAATCCTTAATTGTTTGAAAAGAAGATGCCTCCAAATGAGACAATCCCGAAGCTGGATGCACTTATAGGTGCAAGGGGTGTTTATATCTGAATAGATATAAATTAGATATAAAAGGGGAGTACATCTAAAGTGATAAGGTTGCTCTCATTGCGGTGTGTCGTCTATCAACACGCATGAAGAATTGATTGATAAAGAAAACAAGAAATGAATTGTGAGTAAATTATATGGCTCACTATTGATAAAATAAAATACTTAAAAAACTTTTTTAAAAACCACGTTTTTCTTGTGGACTAAAAAGTAGAAAATAAATTATGGCTCGCCCCAAAAAACGTGTGTCGGGCAGATTTATGATTGAAGCAAAAAGCACACAACACACGAATTTTGGAAATTTGATGGTGAACGTACAGCCCGCCCCACGCTTTTTGGGGTGAGCCATAATTTATTTTCTACTTTTTAGTACACAAGAAAAACGTGTTTTTTTAAAAAGTTTTTTTAAGTATTTTATTTTTTCCTTTTTAGTCCGTTGCTGCACGGACTAAAAAGCATGACTTGACGTACGTATCCATGTTACGCAGCGTCAGCGCCTGTTCGTCTATAACGTCAGCGCCCGCACGTCATACTATATATATACTATTTATATATACTTTACTCAATTAAGCTAATTTAGGTCTCTAATTGCTAGTTTTTATGATTGTATCTGAAATTGTTAGGCGAAAATAGCCTGCATGCCGAATTTCAGATCTCTAGGGCAATCAGAAGTGGGCTAATTTTCGTTGTCAATGTTAACAACAAACAAACAAACAAATAAACAAACAAACAAACAAACGCGAAGCTAAGCTAAGAAAAACGTGCTAATAAAAAGTTTTAATAAAGTCAAAATAACAAATTAGCGTTCGAAATCATAAAAATGCATGAATTTTCATTGCCTTACTGGGAATCATTGCGTGACTGTATATACGAACAGTGAAAAGATGTGCTATTGAATATTTGCTATAGCTAATGTGAAGAGTGGATTTTTTTTAGCTATTTCAAGATATTTATTAACTCAAACTCGAAATAATTTATATTCTTAAATATTTTCGATAAAATATATTGACTGAGTATTCAAATAGTTACTGAATATTGAATTAATTTCAATGAAATCATTGTTGAGTGTCTTGCATGCCTGCGCGCATTCACACGAGATGAGTGAATAAAAGTGAACTGTTGGACTTACCCTGCCCGTTGAACGCCAGCGGTCCTCCGAGGTAAGATTTTCCGCTCTGCAAGCGTGAATAGAGCCATAGAATTACAAAAAAAATCAGGTTACTTGGTAATTCATTTTTTTGCGCTAACGTGATTATAACATGAAAGAATTCGCTAAAAAGACACTGCCACATCAGGCATCTTAAATCAAGGAAATCAACTAGTAAGCGACGTCATTTTAATGCCATTTTCTTGGTCGGTCGCAGGCATAAAAATTACATTAAAGACGAAAAAATTACAATAAAAAAATAAGTATATATTTATATTGCCACGCATATTGCCACTTGATAGAAAACAATCTTTGAATTACCCTAAATATGTCGGCCGAGCAACGTTTGTCGGCTGCTTCAATCCTTGCGAAAATAATTCGTGGCCGCTTTAACTACGTTGCTGTAGCTTATGTAGGCTCCAGTTAAGTTGTGTAATTTTAGCTACCAAAAAAAAATTTCTAACTTGAACTTTAATATAGACTTTGTTCGTCCACAATCATTTCTTGCCCTAACTCTATCCTTTTTATATATAATACTATTCTAAAAAAAAGAAAGAAAATATTTCATAAGTTGAAATAGGGTAGAACCTGAGTTGCAGCAGCGCTGAAGCCTGCAAGGCTGACGGCAGTGCGACCGATGAAATTGATGCGGCGCGCTTCATCCGTTCTCTCTGCGAGGGCAGGACTCGTACACTCCATTAAACTTTCTTGGCATTATATTCGTTAAAGTATACAGCAATTAATAATAATTATTTCATTAATCGTCCATAACGCAGCAGCTGATAGCTCGACCGCAAGCTTCTTGTCATAGCAGTCGACCAGTCCACAATATTTTATACAACATAAATTTTAATTTTCTGACTTTCGAAATTTGAACTCCTTTACATTTTATTTATTTCAACTTTCGGGCTCCTAATTTAATTTTCCGAATTATTTCTTCAATTTTGAATTATTGTAATTGAATTTAAGATAAACTTAGTCAAAGAAGAAGATGCAGCTGACCTGTGACGGGTATGAGGAGATGTGGTCGTTCTTGTCCGAGGCTGACGCAAGCGCCGCGCGCAAAGATCCCCGTAAACCTGTTCTCGATGTGCAGGTAGAATGGGTACCGTGGTGCGCACGCCTGAGAGGATTTGATCATCAGATCAGTTTTGCTGCTGCACGTTGCATTGCTAGAAGTGGAACTATTGGGTATCTACATGAGGTTTAGTGAGATGACGAGTCATGCTTTTGCACTCTAAACTTGCTGCTGGACTGCTGTATGAGGTCTCACTGATTGAATAGAACCTTGTGGGTAGCAGCAACTGGAAAATGCATGTGTATACAATATACAGCAGAGTGGAATCCGCATTTTAAAAAGCGCTGAATTTATTTTTAATTAGCAGTAAAAATTTATTTCAAATTATAAAGACTATATGTCAAGGTGATAACTTCCGAATTGTAGATTAAAAAATGTACCATAGCTTTTTGTGAATCTATAAAATTTTTTGTTAAGAAAAGTTGTGTCCGTGTGAATGAAACAATTTTCTTCAGACGAGTGGTACCGGGATGAGCGCCGCTAAACGGCATGTTCCGGACTTTGGCAAGGTTACGAACTTCGAAATAACTCGAAGGTTGCGAACTGCCTTCGGGTCAATGGGCTATAGACGCATGATCAAAGGTGGTACATGACCGTACAAAAGAAGAATTTACTGGATTTTTTATCTGTTAGGTGGAGGGATTTACAGATCTCTTAAGGTCCGTAATTTAAACTGAAAATTTTGGTTACAACGAGCTATGCTACGGTGATTTACAAGCAGCGACGAACACGAACATCGAAATCAGTCGCACAAACCTGCGTTTTAAAAATACCAGAAACTGGTTTCCAGGGCTTATTTAGAAAATGGGCTTCACGTGGCACACTTTTTCATTGTGTGAAACAACTTTTGCAAGGAAAAATATTAATTGAATATCATTGAATTTTCAAACCAAAAATTTACCATCAACTAAATAACGAGTAAGATATTTACGAACAAAAACTTAAAGAAGTGGACAAAATCGTTGTGGGAACGAAAAAGAACGTGCCTTCCTAACATTTGCTTGCTCACCTTAATTAAATGGTGTTTCATTAAAGTAACTTAGAAAATTCCTCCTCGTCATTGAGGTACAACTGCTGTCCTCCTCGTCATTGAGGTGCAAATGCTGTCCTCCTCGTCATTGAGGTACAAATGCTGTCCTCCTCGCCATTGAGGTACAAATGCTGTCCTCCTCATCAGAAGGCCCAGTAGACATAACACGTGTCAGGAATGGTAAGCAGGTTCCCTACTTCCCATACAAGGCTCACCAGCAGCTGGTCTGATGCCGGCGCCGTCGCGAGTGTCTCGCCGAAGCCGATGTCAGCTCGCAGCGCTCGGTCAACAGTGAAGAGCACATCCATGTCACGACCTGCAGACAAAAATTTATCCGAATTTCATACTTCGCAAGTTCATACTCGCAAAAAGTACTCATTATCTGTCTGTCGCTCAAACTTACCGACTCACCGGCTGATTAAGCATCGATCTGTTCGGAAGTGACCGAAGCTATATTTAATTGAAAAAATATTTTCGAGGGCATATGAAACCGAACTTATGAAAAATTTGTGTTAGTGTGACTGAGTTATGAAATTTTTTATAGTTTTCTCAGTGAAGCGAAATATTTTATACGTGCAGCTGCGCTAGAATGAACACCAGTAAGAGTTTTGTCGCTGCCATCATTACAGATCTCAACATACCATTGAACTCATACTTAAGTGTCACTGCATTCATTGCTGTGCCTCAACATAATGAAGAGTAACTGCAATCATTGCTGTGCCTCAACATAATGAAGCGTCACTGCATTCAATGTAGGATCTCAACATAATGAAGCGTCACTGCATTCATTGCTTTGCCTCAACATAATGAAGCATCACTGCATTCAATGTAGGGTCTCAACATAATGTAAGGTCAGGGCTTGTTCGCTGCGCCTCAACATAATGAAATACCGCATCTTTCATTCCCTATTTTCTTGTAAGTTCAAGAGACTAGTGAAATCACTTACTTACGGCACTTATCTTAGCGAGGGTCACTTCTCCATCGATAAAAATTCTGAAACATTTTTATTCAACGCAAGCTTCACCACAATCGCTCGTGATTGTCAACGCAAGCTTCACCACAATCGCTCGTGATTGTGGAGTGAAATGCAATCTAGATTGATATCCGGCCTTGACGCACTTCAGCCATTATTTTGTTGACTGCTGTTTGCCCAAATCGCAAATTGTTAAAATTTAATCATAGAATCCGCGTTGTGTGTGTGAGCTGCTTTTCCTGGAATGAAGCCAACGGTAATTCACTCGATGGTTCTGAGTTTATGAAACTACAATTTTCACAGCCATTGGACACGTTTTTGTATGGCAAAGGAGTGCGTTGTTCTAGCATTTAATTCCGACTTATGTAATTTTAGCGTCAACATACCTGACATTATTCATCAACAAGAAAATATTGCCATAAATTGTTTCAAGTATCGCTTCCGTTAACAAATTACGGGTTTTTAAATGAAATTCAGAACAAAAAAGCTCAATGACATCTCATTTCCGCAAGGACGTTGCCCATTATTTATAAAACAAACATTTCACTTTATAAGAATTTTTGGTCAGTACAATTCAATTGTAGAACAAAAAGCTCAATGGCATCACACTTCAGCAACAACATGGAATTTTGAGAGGCAACAAATGAAGTTCGAACAAGGAGTGGTTCATGCAAAAGTTAATGAGTGATCTTCTAGGCGAGCTTGATTGTGAACCTAGTTACCACAGTGTAATTGCTTCAAAGAAAGAGAAAACATTTGTCGAAAATTTAAGAAATAGGATCGCAAGGTGAATATTCGATTAAAGCAAAATGATCTATAAAAAATATTTAGTTTAATCGGCAACGTCTCCAAAGTCACAAGATTGAAAAAATATTTCCAAACAGCGGAAATAAAAGGAAATTTTAAAAATTTGGACTATAAAAATTCGAATTCGAAAAAATTTACTGGTGTGGTTTTGATAAGTTAAGAAAGAAGCATCACCATTCGTCTTGCAACTGTGCGTGTTCGAAAATATATGTAGAGACCTCATTATGATAAGCTAAATCGGGGCAGGAAATTTAATGATGCAAAGTCGAAAAAAACTTAAAAAACCTTGAATGTAAAAATGTTTGACGAAAAACTCCGAAGTCGTCGACCATAGACAACGTTGAATGCTCATGAGGAGCGATTAACGTTGAAATTGTTGGTAAGACATGCAGTGCATCGGTCGCGCTAGCAAAGATGCTTAAAGTTCCGCGCTCACTTTGAGAGTTTAATTTTGTAAATTAAACAATGAATAAAATTAGTTTTAAAAATTCGTATACATAACAAGGCATTTTCTGTGCGGTAGATGCCACCTTTGAAGTGTTCAGTAGACGTCAGGTGACTGCTGCAGTTGCCGGTCAGGTGGTGGCAGTAGTGTACGGCGCCCTTGGCCCTGTCATGGCTGCCACTGCTGAAGAGAGGACTCCCCACCACAAGCCGTCTGCAATATGTCATTCATTGTATTGAGTCAGTCAGTGTTGTGTTGCTACTCAAGTTGGGTAGCGCTGGGTAGTATTGGAAATTCATACCTGCATCTTATTATGAAGTAGGCTAAATACCAGGATATTTTGAGGAGAAAGTTTATACCTCAATGAACTCCATCCGCTCGTGGTTGTTTGGCTAGTATAATTATTGCCTTATGACCAATAATACTGAGGCACACAAAGAGATGATTAAAAAAACCAACAGGTAAACTTTGCATCAATGATGGCGAAATCACAAGCGTTCGTTCACCGCAGGACCTCAACGGAATTTTCACGTGAATTCTACATCGTCAATAAATAATGAAATCCTTTCAAGTAGATTTTGAGAAATGAGAAAAGAGTTTTGCACGATTAATTATTTTCAAGTAAAGATGGAATTAGAATGCTGTATTACCGAACTATGATGAAATGTTTAACTACAGAATGGTGCGTCAGGAGTAAAATAATTTTGCTCCTGCTCTTATAATTTTGGTTGAAGACGCATTGAATCACCGCCAAGTAATTTTTGCCGAATATATGACATTCAAGCAAACCAAAAATGAAAGGATATAATATTGCTTGGGAATGGCTTAGCAGCTAACGCAAGCGTGGGATATGGCAGAACAAACAAGGCATCAGTCTTCCTGCGTAGTGGTAAGTCACAAAGAATGTTTTCGAAGGCTTAAGTTCGTAATTTGAGAGTCAGCATAACATGAACATTAAAGACACCACAAACATTTCACGTCAGTTTAAAATTGTGTTAACAATTCTCTACATAGCTGGTCCTCTGCAAAGAAGAAACTAACTTTACCCATATCATACATCCCAATTTTCAGAAGGCAGTGAAATAGACCACAGATGTGTTCGAAGGCCACCATTTGTTTACTGCACAACTCTGACGACTCACTGGTACTTGGCTGGTGCCTGGTGCCACATGGCGACGGAGTAGCCGAAGTTTGTGCCGTTGTCACCGCGCAGGACCAGCGAGTAATCCGTGTCCAGGTTGAAGCCTTTCGCTGGCAACACTTGCCACACCATCACCAGGGATGCCAACCTCACCACGCGCAACATGCTTAACGATGGAGAAAATATTTCTTTAATGTGAGAACTTTAGTATTATTTAATCCCACACCGTCAGTGTAGGAAAGAAAATGACGAGAAACATGCATTGCGTTTTCAATCAGCCATGATCCATTCAGCTTGCTGTATTAATTTGTAATTGTATTGGAAATTAGCGTCATGGTATAAGTAACTAATGATAAATTAGGTCATGTTTCTGAAATTAATAATTCAGATAACATAAAAAATTGCACGAATTATCCACTATCAGCATTCGAATTGCCACACTGCATTTGAAGTTGATACCTGTTCTGGAAAAGTACTGTCAGTGGCGAGAAACCAAATATGCGAAAGAGCCTCGCCTCCAGAGAGTAAGGAGGGTTACTCACATAAATGTTATACTTTACTGCTTTATTTGAGCTCTGAAATATTAAAATGTTAACTATTCGCCCTATATATTCAAATTTTTAAAACTGTTTCTGAGTCTTCGCGGCACCGGCTAGGTGCAAAACTATACCTATACAAAATTACATTACTTTTAGACGCGTTTATTGCAAACGCATTTCTTATGTGTTATCGGATGATTTCTAACGGATATTTAAAGGATAAGTACCATTTTTAAATAAAACAGTACTTGCTATTTGGCGCATGAGCGCCAAGTGGCTAAATCTCTTGGGACAACGTGAACACAGACGCCATTACGGAAACAACCGATCGAATCTATACGTATTTGCTTCTGTGATTTGTAATTGCCTCCACCTGTTCAAAATCCAACCGAATGCAAAGTGCGCGCATTCCTTTGTGTTTAAGGCTCAAAATCTGTTGATATTAATAGCCAAAACAGTGGATGAAAACGTTATGAGTGATAGAATGATACTGAAATGAGTTAGGGCCCTTAAAGGTGCCTGCACAAACATTCGAGTTAAGGAACGAAGTGGAGGACCTTCAGTCTTTACCGATGATCTGATTAAAAAAGTGGAATGAATAGTGAAGGAGAACAGACAATTCACAGTTTCGTCATGAACTAACAAGTTTACTTCTGTCTGAAGAAGTGTTCCGTACGAATTTGTCTAATCAGGCGGCAAGCTTCTTTGACGATAGCATACAAATGCCGGTCCTCTGATACGATAAATGCCTCAATAAACAGGGTGGGGCAGTACTGATTGAGCAGTTTTGTAGCGAAATGAAAGTAATGAAGGTACATAAAGAAGAAATTTTTTTTTCTTCGAGGTTAGCATAACATACCATTTAGAATACTTATGTTTTGAAACAGTATCAGGAAGATGGTGGCCGTTAGCTGCAACACACTGTGGGAGTCGTTCTCGGAGGAGGGAGTAACCGTGACAATGAATTCTGAACGCTATGCTGCTATATTGCAAAATTTCTTGCAGCCCAGGATGAAAAACATTGTTGAAAATGAAGCATTGGGAGACGTGTGGTTCCAGCAGGATGGGGCTACAGCTCACACAGCCTGAATGTCACTCAATGTTTTGAGACACATTTCCCGGACGTCTGGTGTCTCTGAGGGGTGATTTACAGTGGCCTGCAAGGTCACCTGATTTGAGCATATGCGATTTCTTTCTTTGGGGACATCTAAAAAGAGAGGGTGTTCAGAAGTCGCCCTTACACCCTACCACAACTAAGGGAACGGATTATTGCCTAGGTTATGGCCATACCTCGCCATATGTGTGAACGTGCTGTAGGAAACTTCCGAGAACGACTTCAACAGTGTGATGCAGATAACGGCCACCATCTCACTGATATTGTTTTCAAAACACAAGTATTCTAAGTGGTATGTTATACTAACCTCGAGGAAAATAAACTTTCTTCTTTATGTACCTCCATTACTCTTTTATTTTGCCTCAAAACTGTTCAATCGGTTCTGCCCCACCCTGTATTAACAGGAATTATGTAGAAAAATAAAGTAAAGCATAGCCTTTCTGGGTAACAAATTATTTTTAGAAATAAACTATTTTCTTACGGTACTTACTTTAATAACACGCCTCGTAGCGCACTAACCGTCACATCTATTCAAGACTATTTATACTTTACTGTTACATCACGACTAAAAAATCTTCTTTATTATATATTCAAAGTACCTGTATATTCTACTTGGTAAACTTATGGACCAGTATACAAACTGTATCACCTATTCAATACACCCTCACATTTTATTAACTTAACTTGTCACTAAACAACCTAAAATGCCCTCAGTTAACTCATGACCAAAAAAAATTTCCGCACCTCTGTTCAAAATACCTACAAATTTTAATACGAAAACTTAGGACTATGTAAAACACTTTTGATAACATCTCTTTGAAAAACGTGTAGTATTTATTATTAGGTAAACTAATGATTGAAAACACTCTGCGTTACATCTGTTCAAACACCTGCACATTTTGTTCAGTAGAGTGGACGTAGCGGTAGCTCTTGCCATATCGGTACTGACGTGAGGACGCGCACGTAGAAAGTATACCAACCTGCAGAGCAGGTACAGATGTGAGCACAGGACGTGGCTATCATCTTTGGCATCCGCGGGATAATCTATAGGTAACGGAAATCACTCGAGGCAAGCTCATGTCGCTAACAGCTGTCATTTCTTGTCCGTCGTTCTGCGATAAATTCTAAATCGAATATACGAAATTATAAATTAGCGATAGCCCAAGGTTAGAAAAATTTTAGAACAACGCAGAGGTACGGATTTTTGTACGTGAATTTAACCCTGTACCGGGTCTTTATGGATTTAACTGACGGGTCTTTATGTGCGAATAGCATTGACGACGGTAGAGGCATCCGTAGATAAAGGGTTAAACTCCAATCAGCTGTTATAAACGAAAACTATAAACGACGCACATAAATAATATATATTAAAAAAGTTTTGGTTGATGGACCATAAAGATTGAATAAAGAGACATGATTGAAAAGTCTGTAATTTACTATGGTATAACATAGAAGCATTGGCGTTGAAGAATAGGCCAAGTTTGTCCTGTCGCCAAATCCTGTACGGTAATGTTCTTGACTTGTCTTCTGGAGATCCGAGATCTGGTCTTTTGACAAGAAAAATAAAAAAATGACGTTGAAGCTTAGTAGCTGCTGATTATCCGCAAATTTGAGAGGCGGAAGACAATTCAAGTCGAAACATATACTTCTGTATAGTCTGTTCTTGAACGCGTTTATACTAGGGAGCGTCAACGGTTTTCAGTTGATAACTGTGGCTCGATCCTGGTGGGAAATAATTAGGGAATCATGTATAAACCATGAGTATACTTAACATAACATAACATAACATAGTGATGTCGGCGCTGAAGTGTAGGCCTGATGTGGATCAATAATCTTTGGGCAAGGAAAGATTTGAAAATCTTAATGATTTCATTATCCTTTAACTAGAAAAAGGCTCGTGAGTTTACACTTAAGGCGAGTTTTAGGATTGTGTCCTACGGCTCGGAAAGTAAAATAATTGTAGAATAAAAGTAGAATAATTACTTCACATTATGCTGTTAGCAAACTTATCATTCGTAACTGCACATTTTGCGGCGAATAAAGTTCGGAAGCAGAGTTGATCTCTAAACGCAGATAAAAGGCTAAGCCTCGTACTTGTAGCGGAATTTTTTTATATATTCTCTTTAACTAAACATGTACATAAATGAACGCCTTGTACGTACGAATTTGGCTTTGCTGGATAAGAAATTATACGCAGATAATGCGTGTTATAGAAAAGAACAGCAAGTAAAATTAACTTGCACTGTAAATACGAGCCCGGATGTTTCAACCCTGCAGTAGTTGCGTAGATTACATAAGTAATTCATTTGCATGAATTGATGATTTTCTCAAAATATCCAAGCATTAATTTCGATTGCTTCCATGTAATTCAAGTGAACGTTCGAGAAGCGCGCTCAAATTCGCTCAAGTGCCGGTCACGTGATGTTGTGAAGCAGGCACTCCTCGATCAGAGGCCTCGGATCTTACTCAAACCATGATCGTAGCTCTGATGTTTTAGCGCATTTTCTCATTTATGGAATAAAAGGCGCTATTGTGCTCATGTCCGTCCGTCCGTCTGTCCGTTGTAGCTGCGCTATGCTTTCGTCTTTTATTGACCAGGTTCCCGCTGTTAACGTGAGGAGGTCGTTGCATTCGCTGCGGGTCTTTTTAATGATCAGCATGGGGTGGTGACAACAACCTCGTGTTGCGTAAATTTTTGGAGATATCCGTAATTTTATTAAGATTCAATACCGAAATTGTTCCTATTGTTATTAGAATACAGCAGAGGTGACATTCATGATCTCTTTGAGTGGCGGGTAAGCCTCGCATCTTGTGATATGGTTTATGATCTAACGATGATCTTGGTTTAAAATTCTATTGTTTGCACATTTCTAACATGTTTAGATGCTAGGATAAATACTGGCATACATTCCCGATCGATTGTAATCTTGTGGAAAAGCTTGGCTTGTCTATAATATTGAACGTTTGCGTATTTCATGGATATTCCAGGTGGACGTGGGCACCGGATTTACCTTCTGGCTCGAGGTTCAGAGAACTTAAGTGAAGTTCCTTGGAATTCCCACTGTAATGGAAATCCTGAAACGAATAAACTTCACTGCAGGAGGAACCCTATAGTTCGTGTAGTCGGGAGTTCCAGCTTGCCGCGAATTGACGTACAGACCAATTCTTCAACTATGGGTTTGGTCTTCGTAACTAAAATGGTTATTTTTGCTTGTCGTGTAATTATTTCGCAGTGCGTCATCCTAGCATCTATGTATTTTTTGAGTTAGGTCTTTTTTTCGTCGTACACCTTTTAGCATGTCTTGTATATAGGGACTAATGTATGATACTCTAGGCCAGCTAAGGTTTAGCTTTTTTGTAAGTTCTCAATAAAGCTATGTAGCTTTACTAATTGAAGTTTCTCCTTTTCACTATCACGTCCACAATTTTGACGGGTAGCATATATACGTTGTAAGCTCTCCCACAACATATAATTTGGTGGCCAGTATGGGGATTACATTTTGGGAGATGCAGTCCTGAGTACTATACTAGATTTTCTGTCTTTCTGTTGCGCAACATAGTTAGTGATTAATGGATATGTATAACTTAAGCGAGTCGTGGACACGGTTATACTTGCTTTGTTCGGGGTAATTAGTGTTCGCTCGAGTCGTCTGTTATTGTTGTGTACCCTGATTTGTTGTATAGATTCTTAGACCTGTTAATTTGCACATGCTCACCTTTATAGGATGTCGTCGGAATTGCTTGAGCGATTGATCAACTGTTTGTTGAATCTGGAAGCCGTCTTAATCGAATTGCGACGTGAAAACGGAACTTCCGACGTGCCTATTCGGGCAGAGCCAGCGCGACATCGTGGGCAATCTCGGCAAGGCATTCGCGACGGCCGAAGATATTCGAAAACTTTGGTATTCACCAACTCCAACCGAAAATGGTGTAAATCGTGTGGAGAAAGAGGCCACGTCTCTGGGAAGTGCGCGAAAGATAGGTGCTGCCTATGCCACCAGCCCGGTCATAATCTGGAAGTGTGTCCAGAATTAACGACTTCCATGTTATTCGAGGAGGAGCCAGTGCAATACCGTGAGGCTTGTCCCGACTTTCATGAGTCGACATCGGCTGAAGAATTGCGCTCCATTGATGGGAACCAAAACGATTCACCTCCTCCAGCCTTGACTCCTTCAATAGCTCTGTTTGACGTAGAATTACCCTCGGCAGTCTCGTCCCGGGAGCCGCTGCCTGAAGTTGGCACTTGCGTTTCGCCTCGGGTACAGTCCAGATGGCCAGTTTTAAGCGCGTTGCCTCTTCAACCCATAACGTTTGTTGAACCATTCGACGATTCGTCTCCACAATGCACTCCTCCAATCGCCCCTCAACTACTTCTGGCAGATCATTTATAAAAGCAACGAACAAAATAGGCCCCAGGAATCTTCCTCGTGGCACGCCACTGTGCACTGATGCCCAGTCTGACACGGTTCCGGTAATACTGACACGTTGTCGTCTACCTAATTGTATTAGATTAGACCTGGAAACTTCATAATAGGCAATCTTTCTTCATCAGACTAGCTCTTTAAGCCTGAAATTATAATTTTTGCTCGTCTATGAACACTATGGACTAAGTTTATATCCTTTTCAAAGCTCGGTGACCACACGACGCGTTCAAGCTCAAGGTTCGGGCGCACGACAACAACAAACAACAGCTTCGTCTATTCTGTGTCAAGGTACTCGTAGGAGCGTCTGCGACTGCCAATAAACGGCTTGCTTGGAGCGTAGGTCCAAGCCGTTTATTGGCGCCTATAACTTGTGCTTCTGGAAAATTTCAACTCCTTGTCTACAAAAACCGTCAAATCTATTCGATCATCATTCTCTCATTGCATTAATGTCTTCTCATATTGTAAGCGCACTGTGCACTGTTCTTAACAAGAAGAAGTACTTTACACTTGCCAGAATTAAAAAGCAAATGCCACGTTTCAGCCCAGTCAACTAACCTATTAAGATTATCTTGCGACTGCGCAATTTTTTTCGACGCATCAAAAACTATGTTATAAATGTTTGTGTCGTCAGCATACATAAACACACTTTATACTCCTTCAGATTGTTTATAAATGCTACGAATAAAAGTGGCCCGAGAACCTTACTTGCGGCACGCCGCTGTTTACTGTTGCCCAGACCAATACAGTAGAGTTCAAACCAACCCGTTGATGTCTACCTTCTAGAAAATCTCAGATCCATTGTAGTACATTTCTCTTCATACCCAAGGACGTTACTCTACGTAACAGCCGCTCTTGCAGAACACTGCTAAATGCTCTTGTAAAGTCGAGATACACTTCATACATTCGCTCCCCTTCGCCTATAGCAGGCGAGTCCCATTTAAATCAAAACATGAAAGACAAATTACGTGGGTTCCTTTGTAGCCACTGTAATACCAGTGGCGTTACCCACGCACTGTCAAAATTTCAAAGCAGTCTGAGTTCCACACAGGCATTGTTCGTTTAGTCTGGCGCAGCGAAGTGAGGATCCATACATATTTATGAATAGGTTATTTCATTAGGGGATTTATATTACATTTGTGTTATATATGTAGGTGAATAAATTCAAGGTTTGTTTGTCGGTATCAATAATTAAGAATTCTTATTTTCATCAATTAGAAATTTTAACTTCTGATCTGGTTTGGGACGAAATTACGTTCTCACTAGTTTCCCTTTGAGTGTTATCAGTTTATTTACATTTTTTGTAGTAAAAAATTTTAACATAGTTACCCATCGTGTTTGTTCCTTCAGGTAGCGCCCGGAGAAGACGCCAAGTAAGTTCACCTTACATTCAATGAACACTTTTCGGAGACCGGTTTCGTCAGCTGTTCAAAAATTTACAGAATTCATATACAATCAGTGGTGAAAATCAAAACCTAAAGTAACGGTAAAATAAAAAATGAAAGAAAAAAAATTGTCCATTTTACAAATTCAATTGGATTAAGACAGTGAGCCTTATTAAAACAATGTTTCCATTATAAACATGCCGCGATTCCCAAATTCTTAAATCCGAACCTTGAGAGTTTGTACCGAGTATCTTCAAATCACTCTCAGACACATTGGTATCGCACTCGGCGCACAGTTAGTATACCAATGTGTCTGAGAGTGTATAAGGGCGCACAGTTGAGTGAGGGGCTTGCCAAGAGGCATGTTCGAACGAAAACTGCTGCCGTAGTGTTCAGAAGCCCAGATGTAGAAGGTATATGACGTCATTCCAATGAACGCTGATGCATAGCGCGCACAACTAAATCCGTAATCAATGTTTAATTGCAACGAGGCAGGAGTAACATCCGCATACCTGATGAATGAACAAATTTTGAAATTATGCACCAGTAAAGAATGTTTTCAAAAGCTAACATCCGTAAATATTTCTGAAATCAGATTTTCAATTCTCTGGACATCGTTTCAGATGAGCTACCAGAATGGTGGAAATAACAAAAAACAGTTTTTCTGCTGTCAACACCAGTAACAGAGCCTGGATATCTATTATTCATAACACAACAGACAATGGAAACCCATTCAGTTTAAAAATATTTCAATTAATTCGATTTCAGAATGCTTATCTTGGAAAAAGGAACAAATTCAGTAGCCGCGGTGTATCAAGGTACACAAGGTTTGAATACCATTCAATTTAAACGAAAAGATCAAAAGTTAAAGAAACTCATGCCCAGGCCGTTAAATATCGGTTTGCGGTACACAGAAGTATGGAGACGACCGTTAAATTTAGCAACTTTACAACCGAGAAACGATGGACAATTATCGGTTTACATCTTCATAACTAAATTTATTGCTGGATATTTAAAAATGAGAGCATCAAAGAAAACGCCCTCAAATTTTTTGAACAGATGATGGAACTAGTCTCCGAAACGTTTTTATTGAAGAAAAAGACATGGCGTATTCTTGGATTTTTAATTCGTGGTGAACTGAAAAATAGTTGTAAATATAATTCCATTACGCAGCAACAAAAGTGTATGTATCCACGCAGATATTCCGAAAAATTTGCTGGTAATTGGCGCCAATCGAAAAATAAGTTTAAACTTTCAGCCAAGCGTAGCATTTGCTCATTTGAGCTAAGTGAAAATTTTTTTTTTTCATGTCAAGTGAAAAATTTGTTTGTTCGAGTCAAGTGAAAAATTTGTTTGTTCGAGTCAAGTGAAAAATTTGTTTGTTCGAGTCAAGTGAAAAATTTATTTGTTATTTGAGTCAAATGAAAAATTGCTTGTTGTTGAACTGGGCGAAGCATTTGCTTGTTGTTTGAGCTACGCGAAGCGTTTGCTTGTTGTTTGAGCTACGCGAAGCATTTGCTTGTTGTTTGAGCTACGCGAAGCATTTGCTTGTTGTTTGAGCTGGGCGAAGCATTTGCTTGTTGTTTGAGCTGGGTGAAGTAGCCGCAGGTATTCTCTGGAAATTGTGAAACTCGAAATATTTCTTTCTATTTGCACGTGCACTCCGAACTAAATATTTTGCACGCAGTTGTCCGATTTTCGGTAATCAAATAGGATTAAAACTTCAGTGCGGGCTTGACAGACATTGAAACTCGCATCGAGTGCCTCGTCGTCCTGTTTCACCAGCTGCACATGTAAGGGTCCTCCATAAGGCTCACTCTATTCACTAGCTGGTTTATTGGTTGCATCACTAAATTGATTGAGAGAAATCTCTTAAACGACCGTTAAAAACCCCGCCGAATATTCATCTGCATGTATAACTTTCGTATTATCGTTGAGTTTTATCAAAAGTATTTGTCAACCATGGCTTATAATTTGTCGAAAAAATTAGCTATCACACTTTCTAAAATACGTATTGAATGAGCGTGAATGTCCGGTGAGGAGTGAGCAAAATCGTACTTTCAATATCTCAGAATTGAGGCATATTTAAAAAAAATAGTCTTCAGTTGATGCTACTGATTGCTAGAGCTAAGTTTGGTGATTGCATGAACAGTCAAATATAAATTGAAAAAATTTCTCAACTGTAACGTCGCTTCACTTGAAATAATATGCATATTTCTGATCTGATTATCTAATACTCAACCGTCAACAAAAATACGTTCACAGAGCTTTTACGCATAGAATTCTAATTCAAGCTCAAAATATATCATGAAATTTAATGCTGGTCAAAAATAACCCAGAAAGTGCAATGCATTAAATTACTGAAACCTGTCACAAATCGAGCTTGGAATATTTCCAGCATCTTGCTATCTTCGATGTGTTCGGACCTCGTCACTACAAAAATGTCTCTTCAAAGTATAGGAGACTGAGTCGTACATGGGGGCATGGAGGGGGTTTGTTATAATCTGGGCGATCTAGCCAGACTGTCCAGGTTCGAAGAAATCCATTCCCGAGCAAAATACGGCCCTGCTCTACTCATTAACACTCTATTTTTGGCATCGTAAATATATTAAGCTAATAATGGGGCAACATTTCATTTAAAACATGAGAAGTTAAAATGTTTAGACGATTTCTATTGCATGCTCACACATTATTGAAGCCTGTAATCAGGCGTAGAAGTTTCATTAAAAATTATATTGGCGCAAAATTTCTTCAAATTGGAGTATCGATCGTCAATTCTGAACCTTGCAATTGACAAACTAGCCCAGAAAATATTCATTATAAAATACATATAGAATTAATTTATGGTTAACCCAGCCGGGCTATTTGCCATAATAAATGATCAGTTTAATTAGGTGGCAGTGTACGATTGTATTTAGACCCACATCCATTATGGAACTCCCAGTCAGAGCTCGGTTTAATTTTCGAAGGGAACTTGAATTTTTTAATTTTGAACGAAATGTTTGCATATATAATTAATAATGTCAGTGCAAATTTTTAATTATCTCTCACCATTCACGTTCTGTAATGACTCAGAATCTCACTGAACTGAAATTTTAGGCTCAGGCAAAATCCTGACACGCCAGGTTGGCCTACTGAGGTACTGACTCGAATAGCCCTTATATATGTGTGGTGAGTGGCTCCAAACAAACATACAAAAATTCAAAACATACAAAAAATCAGAAAAGCTTGATTGTGTCACAGTATTTCGTGCTATTAGAGTGCTGTCTATAGTATTTTATTTGCAATGATCATGTGTAAAAAAATTTTCGAGAGAGACAAAGCCTGCAGTTTGATAAAAAGACATGGGAACTTTATTAATAACTGTTTGTAACATCATTAATAATAGTTTCTTCTGCATTTTATAATAGTTATTTCAGCAGGTAAAATGCCAACAGGTATTATTATGTATTACATTACCACCGGGTTACTTTACCACGAACAAATTACTTCATAAGAACTAAAACTCATAAAATTTTATGATTAATAATTATTTTATGGATAAATACTCTTCATGATATCCTGATATAGTTTTTTTTCCAGCGAGTGGGAGCTCGCGTGGGTGTTTTGGATCACCCAACAGGTCGCTCTGATCACAGCGAGGTACGGTGGGCGGAGCTACGTCGGCGACCAATATAAAGGTTGCCGGGCCTCAGGCCTGACCATTCGTAACTTGGCCGTGCAAGGGAGAGCTCGTCGCGTGACACCAGAGCATCCAGTTATCCTGCTGCTGCTGCCAACTGTTGCCTCTTTTGCATCTTCATCTTGCACAGCTACTGAGTGTTTGCAACCACAGTGAGTATAAGTATCGCGTGAATAAAACAATAATGCAGTACGCTACCGATATTCTTGATCATCTGGTATAAATTTTCTCCCGCTGTATTTTGGCTAATTATTCTAGGAGCGTAAGTTCACTGTTTCATTAAATATTGAATTACCAGTACAAATGTGTTTACAATATGCATTTTTAAAATTGTTTCACAAGCGCAATTCTGAGAAGTATCACTTTATATTACTTAGCTTCCAGCGCAAAAATACTGATGAGTTTCTTGCAGGAACGCAAGTAAAGGCAATTTATTGCTTATTAATAGATGTATCGGTGGCCCACGATGCATCTATAAAATTTTTGAAATATCTCGAAACTTTTCTAACATATGTAATTATTTAAACAATAACAGTGGAAGAGCAATAGAAGCCTCACAGAGTCAATTAAACACCGGCCCTAATGAGCTGCAATTACGTTAGGTGAATTTAAGTTGGACGCTCAGCCCATAACAGGGAAATAAAATTTGTGCTGTTAAAGTTTGAATTGTTAATATTTTCTTTAGAAAAATACAGCACTATGTGATCTGTTCGTCATAGTTAAATATTTTCTTTCGATTTGTTTGGTTTCTAGAGATATGACAGGATAGCATTTTATGTTTAATTTAACTGTTACTGCATAGCGATTTTATCTTTCATCTTCCAGGTATCGAACGTATATTGACCTCAACATCATTTTGCTTTACTCTCTTAAGAACAATGTCTAGAATGTCTAGAATGTACATTTCAAGTAATAATACCAAATAATAATATATTATGTATAATGTACACTGAGAAAGTGCTAATGATGTACGTTTTCATTATTCGAAACGGTCACAATACAGTTTTGTTTCTCCCCGATAGATTTCCATTGCGTGTCGTCAAAAAATATTTTCTAAGACATTCAGTAATATGAAACTATCACTAAGTAATTTTACAAGCCAATTTTTAGATCTTTGGCTGCCTTGAGAGCTTTTGAAGGATATTTAAATTAAGATACTCTTGCCATAAAGATAAAATCCTATTTCATATATTCTCATCATCAAATTACATCATGACGCGATCATTTAATGGGGTATTTAAAGTTTCAAAGCTGGCCCAGACGAAGATATATTCTCTTTAAAGCAAAGAACTGTAAATAAGGAAGACTTAAAATATATGAGCATCGACAACATCCAAATACATACTTTCGGTGCAGCAACGATGGAAACTTGTGGAGCATCCATGACATGTCCGGCCAGGGCCACTACTATAGCGTACCAAGAGTCGCTTCTTTATTAGAATTCTCCCGTAATCAATAACTAACCTTTGCAATTGACAGCGCATCAATCCGCCATCCATGGTCGCCACTCATAATCCGTAATAAAAAATACTAATGAGAAGAGAACAGAGTTAGCTTGAACCGTGATAAGCCGTTCATTATACTAATGTCAAGCACCTTGCCCACCCAATTAAACTCAAGTGTCTTCAGGTCAACCCGTCTCGTGGAACGATCTTAGATGGAAATTATCGTTGTCAGAGTGTTTTTATCAGCAAACACGTGAAAACGTCTGAAGAATGCATTTATTGTTGTTGGGATTCGTAGATGTTGACATATTCTTTTCAAAAAATTTATGAAATTGGTGCATACAAATGCAATCATCTAGTGCAGCTAATGCTGGCCCCTTATTGGCCACTCGTAAAAAAGTTTCAATTGTTTTAATTCACGTAAGATCCAAAAGCCATTATTTAGTTCTAATAAACATTAATCACTTTATCAAGATTATATGTTAGCTCATTAAATCATCGAATGCCAAGAGTTTTACTTCAACTGCACTCAAGATATTCTCAATTTATTGCTGTTTCAACACAACAGTCGGTACTCACCGAATGTCATCAATTGACCACTCATAATATTTATTACGTCTAAGTTGGTCTGTATGTATGGATGATTGTTTCATTTTTTGTAATCTAGAATTAAGTACGAGGGCTCTTTTTGAAAAAGTAAAGTAAATGCTCGTTGTTTTATCCGTAGATTTAGACAGAGTTTATTTACCCAAGAGTCATTCGCAAATAATTGGATTCATAGCATAAATACTATTGATGAAAATGCAACACTACAACGGTGGCTGGTGACTTCAGCTCTTTGCTTGTATAGAACTGTCTTAAGGCATTCCTAAGCTCATATATATTTGTCAAAGTTTGTGTGTTAGTTTGCGTGTGTTTGAAGCCTGTCACCGCAAATATAGAGCAAGAAGGAAAGTACTAAAGAATTAGCTTCCAAATTTAAATCTTATATTGGAATTGGTGAATATAAATTATGAATAAATGAGGCAATTTTTTATATTTTGAAACGAGAGTGAGTTTTACATAGAAGTCCTCACTTCTATGTGAAATGTTGGTTTGAAGTTAATTAGTCCGCATTTGACAATCCACTGTGTCTTCGTTTCGACCTCTCAAACAACTTTGTAACTTTTTTGATGCATGACGGACGGTAATAAGTAGTTTTAATTTATTTATTTTGAAAAAGATAATCAAACTTGAACCATGATTATAAATGACTCGATCAAACCTCTATTCGTCTAATTACCTTCATATGACACCTTTTGATATTTTTGTTTTTATTCAGCTTAAAATGAACGCTTATGAATATAGTTTGTGCAGAACTTGTAATTTCAACAATTCTTAATCAATATATAATTTAACTCGCGATTCCTTTTGGTGGGATTGATTTAATTTTTATAATTCCTAACAATAAATGGCGATGGCACGTGCATCTACAGGGAGAAGGTGAAATACGAACATGATATCCATAATCCATAAACAGTCGGCGGCGTGAATTGAAATATTATCTAGATTATACGAGTAACAATTAAAAAATTTATTAGAAGATAATTCTTATTTCAGATCAAAATTGGGCAAATTATAGCCTACTCCTCGGCTCGGGGTTATATTTGATAAATTTTCCTTCTTTAACGTTGCACATTTACATTGAATCCAATTTTTGTAATATTCAATCACAAATTATTATTAATAATATTAAATACAATTAATATCAATATTGAAAATAAATTAATATCCTTGAGTATTTAATGTGTCCCAGAAGAAAAAAAAGGTTTTTTAAATCTAAATAATAAGGGAGCCTGTTAAAAACAGGAAATTTTGAAAACTCAGGGCTGGAATGTGTAAACTACGAAATGATTCCTCTTTTTTAAGTTGCATAGTTGTTCCATGAGCTTAAGTCACCGGTGAATAAAAGTTTAAGACATGAGAGCAAGTTGGCTCAGTGAGAGTTGGAGTTCACAAAGTCAACTTTACGTGAAGTTGTCAGCTAATGTGGCTTATGCTAATGGTCCTTCAGGGCGTATGCCAGCTTCGATGACGTATTGTAATTATTTTATAGTTATTAAAATTCCGTCGTCCAAAGCTGGTGTGAGCTGATGTAATAGGAAAAAGCCATAATGATTTTTATCCCTTTAAACCTGAACAAAAATTTCTTAAAATTATTATAGCTTATCACCGTCAAAAAATGACTCACATGATGTAAAAATTCACCAATTACGAAGAAGAAAACGCGTCAGTGAATGGATGAAGTTGTGCCTCTTAAAGAATGCCTGTTGTTAGAAGTATAAAGAAAATTACGTCGCTTTAAGTGAAATGAGTTACGAGACCGCATCTGACACTTCGTCAGCACGAAGTCGAAATGCGAATCATTTTTGAAAATTGTATTTTAATAATTTGTCTTCTTTTAAGTTTCAATCAGGTGTAATTAAGAGATGTTAAAAATGAGATAGTGAAATTTGTGAAGAAGCAATGGCACTATCGTACTTCCCTGAAACAGTTTTCGTCTTTCAAGATAAATGCTGCCGAATTTGTGGGGCTGTTTGCATGTGTTGGAACAAGACCTGAGGATAGTAACGCGAGACGCCGTATAACATTATAGGACCAGCGACCATCGTTAAGCCTATGACCGCTCATTGGGTCTTGGATCAGCCTTAACTGCCTCTCGTCAAGTCAGGCAGCCTGCTGACTAAAATAACACTGGTCGTCAAGAGAAAAAGCTCACATTATTCAAAATTTACGCGTACGTTGATGGAAAGGATTGGATTCGAACGATGTTCTTATTACAACTATGAAGTCATCATTAATTTGTATTATTTGTCTGTATTTTTACTGGAAAGCCGTCGCAATTATTATCGCACATTTCGATAATAACTTCTTAAGGAGACATCTAACCGTTCCTTTGAGTCGAACGAAGTCGAGGGCATATTTAAATAATGCGAGAAATTAATGTACGGAAAAGAGTTTAATCATAGAATAAAAATTGACTGTATCCAAATTTTCGAATTCGCAAATAACTTGTTGATAAGTATAAGGAACATATAAGTAATACAAATTCTAGTCTACGGGTGCCACGATTCTAGGGGTGCCACGTACATTCGATAACCCTAAACCACATTACTGGCAAGGCTTCTGAGTTTCGGAATTTACGATGTCCTTAAATATTGTTTCAATCTGTGGGGCGCTAGAACCACATCGTTTCATTACTGAGTTACGGCAAATACCTTCAATATAAACACAAAAATGTAATTTTAAAATAATTTTAGTAGTTCTTATCATTTATTTCAATACAATCCACATCGCTTCAAGTGTTAGAGAACGATGATACAGGACCTTGTATCGGAAATGCTTCATTTCCTATGTAGAAAAAAAACTCTTTCGATCTGAATTGTAAACGCATTGCCGCTGCTGTTTGCTAAATCGATTGCTGTTCACTCAACTTCTGGAAAGTCTCTAAAAGTCCCGCAGCCAATATTGCTCCTTAAATTCTGACTTTTAAAGACCGCGACAGATGTGGAGGAGTTTACGTTAAAAAGCCACAAATTAGACGCGGAATAGAGTCTGGCAGAGAGGCCTCAACCGGCAGTTTGTGTCAAGGCTGGGGAGCACACAAACATCCCACGTAAATGTTTACATCCTCTATTGTTGGGAGCAGAACCTAAAGCAGCTGTGGG